ATAATAATAATGATGATGATGATGATGATGATGATGATGATGATGTATGTATCTACACCCTAGACTCGTTTAAGAAGAGGAACCAAATGAACCAGGCAGAACATTCTACGCTTTTTTAAAATTAATGTTTTAAGAGTGAAAATAGTTTCAGAATGGGTCCCATCTTAGCTCGTTTCCGACAACGCATGGTACGGAGTAGGCACCTTCGAAAAATTTAACAACGTTCTAAAAAGTTTCATTTTGTATATCAGGGTGTAAGAAGCGTTGTCCCGTTAGGTACACGAAAAGAGCGTTTACGAGCCTACAGCGAACTGTTTCCACGATTACAACGTGCAACGCAGGTTGCATGAGCGCCTGATGTTTTTCTTATCCCATAATCTACGAATGTCGGCTGTTCTTAACTTTTGGAGGGTGTTGAAAAATGGGGATTGAGGTGTGTTACCCCAAGGAGGCGGCTCAGTATGTAAAACAATCAAATTCACAGGCATATGATGATTCCACATATTCCACAAGATTCCGTTCCTAAAGAGAACCGTTCAGTTCAATTGCCACCGGATCACGTCCTTCTATTTTCTGCGGCGTTGAGAGGCGTGGGATTAGAAAATAGGCGGTGGTGACGAGGAAGCAGTCCTTCGACGACTCGAGGCCGAAGCTCGCCCCGCCCCGCCCCGTCCCGTCCCGTCCCACCTCGTCCTCGTCTAATCAACACATCTCGAGCGCCCGCTCTAATGGCGGTTTCTTTATTCAGCGCTCCCGGAAAGCGCCGCGCCGTGCCGAGCCGCACCCTGCTCGCCCTCTCCGCCTTCGGGGAACGGCGCCGCGGGCGTCGGGGGCGGTAGCGGTGCACTGGCGGAGACGCTCGGCCTCCCGCGTGTTGACACGGCAGGGACGTGCCACCGCCACCGCCGCCGCCGCGATTCCCCGAACAGGCGCTTTTTATAGCACGCGCCCCGCCCGCTCCCCCCGCCAACCCCCGCGGTGCGCCACCGTCGCCACCTTGCGTCGTTCGTCACCATCGCTCACCTCTTCTCTCGCCGTGGCTGCGCGCGGTCCTCCTGTCGTCGTCGCCGCCAGCGTCTTCAATGTCGCCTGCGCCGTCCATGCCGCTCGCTGCGTTCGCCCAGAATGCTCAAGAGGCAGGACGCTCGCTCGCTCGCTCTCTGTCTTATTTATTTATCCGCCGAAGAGGCTGCGTTAAAGAAGGCTTTCCGAGTAAAGAGGCTTCTCTGAACTATTTGTTCTTCCAGTTTAAGTAGGGCCGGCCGCCGCGCGGAGGGCCCGAGCGGCAGCGGCGGCGGCGGCGGTGGCGGTGGCGAGGGGCGGAGGCGGCCGGCCCAGCGAGCACGCAACGCCCTCCCCACGCAGGCCGGCGGCGGCGGCGGCAGCGGCGGTGGCGAGCCCTGAGTGCACGCACGTGGCCGGGTCTCGGCGGCAGAGGCCCTCCACCGACACGACGCGACGCTCTAAGAGGCGGATCCGCACACCAACACACTCCAAACGCCCTGGCGCTCCGCTGCGGCAGTCGCTGCGTGCTCCAGCAACGGCGTTCGGTGGGACGCGGCCCACGGGTCTGTACGGTCTTCGGGTGATTCTGCAATGACTGGCAATGGCATATTCTGAGGCCCGATAGATTCAGCCTACGACGGACGGGCCGATATTTGCTACACAGCAGAACTGTCTGTACTGTCAACGACGGACCCTAGTGGAGTTTTTCTCTCTCTCTCTCTCGATAGAGTTACTGTTTCATCATTTTGGGTTTTTATTATTAGTACCTTTCTGAAATCTTGATGATAGTTCAAGAGGACACACCCTTACATTTACATACACTACACTGCCACACATGCCGGGACACCAGTCGGGAGTTTAGAGCTTAACCCGGCTGGGGCAGTGCTGGTGGGAGATACCTGGTTAGGGAAATCGCCGTAGGATGGTTGGCGCCGGATCTCGCCATCTAGCATATGAAGATCATCGTCACCTTCCGCGATAAAACAAAACACGCACTGCACTTACGGGACTAACGACATTAGCAGTTAGCGCGCCCGGAATCACTAATCAGTCTGTGGGTTGATGATAGTTTCGTCTTCCAACGCCTACCGGATGTTTACAAAAAATCGTAAGCATCGCCGTGCGTAATTATTTCATTACCGATCTCTTAGAGCCAGGCCACCCATATCACTTTGAAACCGTATTTTAGTAATATCTGCCGATGCGGATAATAGTTATGTAATCAATGCAACACAATGAATGTTAAACTAGTTCTTCGAAAATAGCACGCGACTATCTCTGTCCATGAGGAAAGGATCTCAAGTAGAGAAAATATTTAAAATATATAAGCCAAACGCGCAGAAAAGAATTGTAATATATTGCTAAATTCATGAAATATTAGTTCTTAAATACATAAACTTTCCATCAATTATAATGCATTTCGCTCTTTCTTGAGACCTGCTCCCTAATTGTTCTTCTCCAGGTACCACAATGGCAATGTTATACCACCATATCAGAACCACTTTGGAACAGTTTTGAGAAATTTAAAAAAAAGATCTGACGGGATTCATGTAAAATATGTCAAAAATTTAAAAAGATCCGGTTCAAATTCGCGATGTGAGTTCAGTCAAATCCATTGGAGAATATTCAATTTGGGGGAACTGTGGTTTAGAAACTAGAGTTGTTTACACACGGAAAGACATTAAAAAACACAACAAAAAATTTTAGATATCAATGATAAACGAAAATGACCATTTTGATCAGAATTTCGGCTTCTGGATGGAACTTTTACCCCATATACGGCGTAAAAACCGAACATTGTATTTGCTTAAATAACTTTTTTTTTGTTTTTCTTTTCTTCAGGTATCAAATTTAAATACACGCCATTCTTGTTTGAACTGTTTATTCTTCATTAATTAATCGCCTCTCATTGTAAAAGCTGACACATTATATCAATAAAAGAATCGGAAATTGTAATTTAGTGTGTGGCTATTATAAACTCTTGCTCCCAGATGATCTAACACAGCGTCTGGTTTCCGTATCTTTCTAATGTGCCTGCAGACTAGACTGGGGGCCACCCGGACCGAAGTTCGTGAGTACATTTGTGCAGCTTTGTAGACGCACAAAAAATTCACTGCACGTTCACTCCACCGCGGTGACACCATTCCTGCCCGTAACGAAATGATCATTTATGGCCAAACCTGCAACGCAAAGAGAAAATAGAGAGTCAGAATGACTTTCGCCTGCCGGCGCGGACATTGCACGCGCAGAAATACAAAGTTTGTTTCAAGCCTCTTGGCGCTGTTTTAGTTCGCTTGTATTTCGTCAGCTGCTGTATAAAAATAAATGATGAAATTTGTTTATGAGCGATGAGCAGTGGCACTGATAAATCGCGGTGTATTTCTGTCGGGGGAATGTACCAAGGCGCGCAAATAAATGTCCTGAGACATTATTTTAAACTTCTTGCCGTTTTTTTCCCCTTTCATTTGAGCGACGACCGAAGTCAGAACGGTTGGCCACGTCGTCAGACGGCCGCCGCATGGATTTTAACGCACACTGCGACTCACGCGCCCACGCGATCGGCCGCTTGCAAAAGAGAATTTCTGGGGAAATTCAACAGCTCGGGTGATCAATTGATAATCGATGTATCCCCGCACAGAAATGCGATTTCGAAGCCCGGCCAATCTCATAAAAGCGCCACTCCTCGCGAAGGGCGGTCTTTCTGGGAGGAGGCTCACGAGGCTCAGCATTTCTTGTCCGGATCTTCGCAGCGAGCAGGCGCTCTCTTAACGCCGACGCCGAAGGGCTTGCGACGAATTTCTCGAGGTGAGCGGTTGCTCACGTTCAAGTGCTACGACCATCTTAGTATAGGTAATGCTTTATCTCGGGATGTGACGGTATTCCTCCCCAGTGGATGGAACCGGCCCCGACATGCAAGATACTGCTTGCGGGGGATTTCCCTTCCACATAAAGACCCCACTGATCCCGCGACATGTGTGGTAGTGTAATGCATGTAAGTGTGTGTGTATGTGTAAGGGGTGCGGATAGGACAAAGAAGAGGAAGGAAAGATCGCGCGAGGTTCTTGGTCGGTTTGTTAAATTAATGCACCGGCATTCGCCTGATATTGATCGGAGAAATAACGATCACGAAAACTACGGATCATAGCAGTGCGCCGCTAGATGTCTCCTCCAGACAGCGGCTGAATTCGACCTAGCTGTCTCGCTAACGTAGAAAATCCTGCCACCGTCGGGAGTGGAAGCATAGAACCTCCCGATCACAGAGACTCTGCAGAGACATCAGTTGATGCCCTGAACTACATGAGCTGTAACGAACTTTGTCTGCCACTACATAGCAGCGAGGCGCATTTTTGGGCAGAGAAGTTTCCGTGGGTGCCTCCTCCCGCTACACCAGGGGCCTAAGACGTGTAAGGCGCGGGAGCAGCTGAAGTAGGACTACGCTCTATCCGCTACGCGATTCGACTTGGCGCAGTTGCTCCCAACAACACTTTCTCGATCGCGGGAGCGCGGGCAGGCGCTGCCCTGGCTAAAGTGACTGCATCCTCAGAGGGTTAAAGAAGTTGTGTTCGTAAAGAGTACACCCGGGGCGGATCCAGTGACAAATTTTGGGAGGGGAAATTCAAAAGATTTGTTGGTCGAAAGAGTCATTACAGATTTTGTAGAATGTCGCAGGCTACACTCAGTTTACGCTGCGATACGATTGTATTCGTTTAATGATTATCGGACAATATTTTGCTTGAAAGTTTCGTGACAAGTTAAAATTAATGGTCACTGAAAAATTGGAGGGGGGGGGGGAATTTCCCTCCCCGTGGATCCGCACCTGGAGTAGACTAATTATGCTCGGCTGAAACCAATGTCGTGAAAAGTCGTGCAAAGACCTACATTTTTTTGAGTTTTGAAATTCGGTTGAACCGATCAAAATACAAACAACGAACATTAATAAAAATACACGAAGATGGAGAAATGGTACTTGGAAATAAACTCAATTATGAAAGTATACCATATGTAATTATTTTGTTTGTTTTGTTTTCCAAAAGGTACACAATAAATCAGATAAAACAAAGTAAAAAATACACATTTTATACATATACAAATACCAGAGCACACAACAAAGATAATTATACTTAATTATTAATAAAATATTTAAATATATTGCTGTCACAAAAGCAGTTCATGCTGCGAAGATAATGTTACATAAAAAAGAATCAGATTGTAATATTTTTTCACATGGCTCTAGAATATTAAATAGATAATTCATGGTGATTCTCTCATACATTAGACTAAAATTAGTCTAAACACTCCCTCTAAATTCATTGAAAATTCTCAGATTATTTTGCATTCTTTAAATTTTTAAAATCATGTCACACATTGGAACATTTACTAAAAAACGACATAAAATAGGAAACGTTTATCCAAAATTTAATAAAAACAAACTGAACAGCTTCAACAAATACATTGAAACTTGCATAAGATCATTCCAGTATTTTTTGTCTGTTTTTATAGATTTTTGTTTCAATCAAGGTTGTATTTTAATCTAATAATGAAAAATTTGTCACAACTGTACTAGAATGTTCACAATTCAAAAGAAGCACTAAGAAGAAAGAACTTAGATCACTCCATATTGTATTGGATTCAGTTCAAAGTGAATTATTTCATAAAAATTAATAATTTTTTTCTCCTCAAATTCTCCTTAAATTTCAAGATACTATCTGCAATCAGGGGATGGATCCAGAAAGTATTTCGGTTTGAACCAGCCATAAATATTTTAGAAATAATAATTATGTTTCTTAAACTTCTTCACAGTATTCATAAGTGTATTCATAATGGGAAAACTGCTTTGGATGTAATGAAAGGTATATACTGTAATTATTTTGAATAAATTGAGTAAAATTACAATAAATGTCATGTACCCCTAGTTTAATGTTACTTTCTTCAACAATTGCAGTGATTGTGGAATTTCTTTACTCTTCTCAGTCAGGGAACAATCTTTTCACAACATAAAAAAAGTTAATTACTTTGTAAATAATCAAATTTTTTTGTGATAATCAGAAACTCTAAGAGTTTTCCTTCAACATATTATATATTTTCATGTAAAATATAAAAGATTCTTTTGCTCCAAAATTTGTTTCCAGGTTTTCCATTTTTCCAAAAATTCATATTAAACAGTTTTATTACATCCACAAAATACAACCTTGTTAAAAGAGAAATATAAGCAAACACATTATTTTGCGGCAGACCAATTAAGCAATGCTAAATAGTATGATATGAAATAAAAGAGTATATTACAAAAATGTACAAATCATTCAAAAGTAATCTATTCAGCCAAATTTTCAAGCATAATTTATACTTGTCATGTTCATTGTTTGTTGATTATGACATCTAATTCAACCTTGAAATATCTCAACATCCATTATTATTACTTAAAACACAGTTAATTTTCAACAGTTTAATTCAAAATGACTTGCTTTTTTTCAACTTGATTAATTACCTAACATAGTTTTCAAGTGCAACTTCAGTACCTCTTTTAGACATGTATTTTTATCCAAACCCTCACAATGCACATTTCATAAATAAAAAGGAAAATAACCCAACAATAAGAACAACAACAACAACAAGAATTCGCACATATCACAAATTCATAACAGTCACAGACTGTATGATAACATTCTTTACCCTAACCTACAGGTCAACAAACTAGCAATAAGACATCAGATATAAGATGACAGGTAGCTTCCAATAAGATAACAGATATTCGAAGAATTGACACATCTTTTGGCCATGATGGTTCCTAAACTTTTTGTAAACACTTGAAAATAAATGAAATCACACTAATAACATGGTTCAGTCTTCTGAAGACCAACGCTGAGCTACAAGAAGAGCAGTGGAAAAGTCCATAAGAGCAGAAGGTGCACCCATTGCTCTTAAATGAAGGGTACCTGCTTCAGCCAAACATCCAGCATTCACTAGTTGCTTGCACACTGTAGTTACATCTGGCAACAACAGTTTCTTCTCCTTCTCTTTTCCTTCAGTTTCTTCCAAACCACTCAGCAATAATTCTACCAACTGTGGGTAAGCACGTGAGCTTACAACTGATGCAGTAAGTCCTCTTTGTAACAAAAGTCGACACACTCTAACTGTAAGCTGTGCAACACCCAACTGAAAAAAAATATAATTTTGTAAATTAGATAATGCACAACAGCAATTTTGAGATAAATCTCAATTGCAAAGAAGTAGACTAAATTTTAAAATAGAATGTGATAAAGAACTAAAACAAGATAGAAGCAAAAATAAATTACACACTTTAATGATAACATAAATTAGACTAGTGATTCCTTCTACATGTTGCACAATAACTCAGAAAAACTAGTGATAGAGGCACCAACTTTCTTGTACTTGTTAACTGTCTTATTTATTAGCTCGGGAATAGCTTTTCAGTCTTCCCAATCCTCTACCCAGCTGCTCACCACTCAAAGATATGAAATTTTTTCAATTTATTGGTTTCCTAATGGTAGAGCCGAACTATTTCTTTAAGAATATTATAGAAGAGTAGAACCTCGTCCTATAAAGTCCTATAGAAATTTTAGAACCTGGTCCTATAAAAATTTTTGTTGAAAAATTTGGAGCAGTTTTTAAGAAAACGTCGCTGAAGCGTTATGGTAAATGCAGAATTTGAAGCTCTTTTACACAGAAATCTTTTGAAATCTCTATTGGAAGTCATTTGAAAGACATTCACTCACTAATGCAATAATGTACACAAATTGGTGGAAATGTGCTTATTAAAGGCGTGCAATAAATTTTTAAAAAATTACATTTATTACAGCAAAATTATTTTATTTTGTCTTCTTAAACAGTGGAATTAGCACAATCTGTACTAAAAGTTTGAAGAAAGAATGTGAAGCCATTTTTCAGAAAATGGCCTTTGAGAGTTTCTGAAAATGTAGAAATTTAATTATCACAGAAAGCATTTGATTTCCCGAGAAACTTTAGGGGCATCACTTGAACCACATGTACTCATAAATAAAATAATCTAAACAAACAGCTGCTACTGTAAAGACAATATGGGAGGCTAGTAAGAAAAATTACATTTTTGTAATTTTTGAAAAAGCAAAAGGATAGAGCAATATGGTGTATACGTCACCTTAGAGAGTACATGTAGCACTATCCCTATTAATAGTTTAAAGAAAAAATTTGGAACTATTTTCAAGAAAATCTTTTTTTTTAGACATATTGCACAAATGATGAAAGTTTAAAAACATGTAGATGAATCTACTGAAAGAACTAAATATGGAGAACAAATTTCATTTGATGGAATAATCTGCATTTTAAATTTTGTAGTTTTAGTAAAACGCCAATATAAATTGAAAATTCTGCAATTTTCTAAAATCCGGGCGGGTGGACGGTCCGACGGACGGACGGACGGTCCGACGGACGGACGGACGGTCCGACGGACGGACGGACGGTCCGACGGACGGACGGTCCGACGGACGGACGGTCCGAAGGACGGACGGACGATTTGAAAAAAACTAGTGGTGCTACAGAATGACACAGACTTTCCCGTATTAGCTTTCTATTTCTTTTGTTTTCAACTTACCATATACTCTCGCCAGCTGCCATCTATATACATACATATATACATAAGCACACACATATATATATATATATATATATATATATATATAGATATATATATATAATATACACACACTTTTTTTTTAACTTTTCGGTTCACTAATAGTAGAAACGGAAATATTATTTAAGAACAGTAAAAACTCGCCCTAAATGGCAACTTTCTTTCTTTAAAAAATTTAGCATCTTTAAGAAAATGGCGTTTAAGTTTTCACATAAATACTTTCAAATACATTTTCAAAAACTTGATATGATTAATTTAAAGCACATGCCACTCATAAATATAATTAATAATAATAATAATAATAATAGTAATAATAATAATAATAATAATAGTAATAATAATAATAATAATAACAATAATAATAACAAATCGCTGCTAATGTAAATATTAAGGATTTAAGAAGAAAGTAAAAAAAATACATTTTTGTAATTTTAGAAAAACAAAAATAAAAGAATACAGCAATATGGTGTTTATGTTATCTTATAAAGTTGTTTGCACTATTCCTAAAAAAAGTTTAAAGAAAGAATTTGCATCTGTTTTGAAGAAAATTGTTTTTAAAATTGCACATATTACACACGAAATTGCGTGAAACTACTAAAATGTTCAAAAAATATATAGGACCTTAATGAAAGAACTAATTATGAGCAACAAATTTCTTTTGTAGAAAAAAATCTGTATCTTAAATATTGTAGTTGTAAGAAATTGACGAAAAAACATACATTTACAATTTTCCAAAATTCAGAATTAACAGTAAAAAACATACCTATGCATCTTTGTAAGTGTATTTCAGTCTATTCTTACAAGAAATTTAAAGAGAAAATTTTAACTCATTTTTCAGAAAATTTTGGAAATGTCTCATCGACTTTATGTAAAGTACCCCCAAAAATTAATGAATGTTTTTCAAAATCGCAGAGCTTTGGTTTAGACCAAACAACAAGGGTTCCTTGAATTTGGAAATATCCTAATTATGGTTTAGGTGCTAGTGTTATTCACATACACCCGACATGTGGACAGATGGTTGGTTGGATGGATGTCATGAAAACAAAAAACCCTTTCGGTATCAGGGGACTCAAAAACAAGTATTTCAGTTAAAATCTCAAAATCAATTTTCCCCAGTAATGTATATTACCTCTGTATACATATATGTGTATGGGAAAGTAAAAATGTTTTTTCAATGTCAGGGCAATCCCAAACGTGTATGTCTGTTTAAATCGATTTTCTGCAGTATTTAGATAGCTTTCTCTATACTACGTGTATTACTCTGTATAACAAGAAAGCAAAAACACAACTAAAATAACATTATTATAAATGTTAAATAAAATTATTTTCAAAAATAAAAAGAATATTAATTTTGTCTAAGAACTTACATGATAATATTTCTGAATCAGTAAGGCTCCCAAACGATGGAGATTGGAATTTTCCATAAGTAAACATGTCAAAACAAGAGGTGAGAGTTCAGTCAAACCTTCCGATTTCTTAACAACTTCTTGAAGGCTCTGTTGAAGAACATTAAAAAATGTAACATTTAATAACTAATAAAATAAGAATTTTTTAAACGAGTTCAAAAATGTTCCAATTCCAATCTCTAAGAGAATTTCAAGTGAAGATGTATTCACCATACCAACTGAAGCTCACAGATGTATCTTTAAATATTAAAAATTAATTCATATTAAAAATAATAATAAAATGAATGCCAAGTGATATTCACTAAAAACATACTCACTGTCCGCAAAAACAGTCAATGAGCAATATAACAAAAACTAGAGCGAAATTGCAATCAAAAATAAGTCAAAATAAAAAGCAATGAAAATCAGTAGCAATTTTCTTAATAATGACTTCAAGAATTGTGGATTGATTCAATGTTGCTAAAGATTACAACAAGCATGTATACATGCATTTTTTACCTCTTCTGAAAATGTATTGTCCTGAAAAATATCTTCTAATATTTCTTCCATTTCTTCAACAGCAATGCCTTCAAAATTTAACAGTTTGTCAACACATTGAAGCCAAGGGCCATCAACATAATTCCTGAAATTTATTTATACATAAAATCGATGCCAATCCTACAGAGTTCATCTTTTTAATTGTCATGACAGACTACTTACCTTCCATTAAGAGGTTCAAACGGTGGCCATCGTTTTAAAAGCTGCACCAATGTCTGTAATTGTTCCCATGTTGTTGTTTTGCCAAGAAGTGTAGCAAAAAGCTGTCTTCGATTTGCATCTGTAGCCAGATCATTGTCATTGACATCAGGATGCGTTTCTGGCCATGCAAGGGTTACAGCTGCTTGAGTGTGATGAAGTAATAACCTTTGAGGACCTAGACTCTGACTTCCTCCATCATCCACAGTATTCTGCACAGTCTGTAGTAAACTTAACACTTCAAGCTGAATATCAGGGGTAAGTTGCCCTTCAATGCAAAGTTGTTCAAGTTGTCGCCAAACGGTTGGGGGCACTAAGTTAATCTGATCGCTGAATTGTGTAATAAACTCTCTTAACCGTTGCAGAACAGCAACAAGAAGAGATAATGATTTAGAATTTGAGGTTGATCTGTGAAGGTAAATATAAACTCAAATGAAATTCTTATGGTATGAAAGAATTCACAAACAAATAATGTGAAATTAGTTAAGCATTTGTAAGAAGCAATATGGGAAAATTAATTATTGTAAATTATTGTAAATTGATCCAAAATTGTAATTCAAAAATACATAGCAACGTGTTTAGGCAGAAGTGTGACCTCTCCTCTCCTTTCTACCCTTAAGATCTTTTATAATTAAACTTTGGTCTAAATTAACTCATCCATTGTCACTATACACAAAACAGAGAGAGAAGAGATATAATTTACAACACTTGCTCAAAATAGTTTTGTCAATACGTTTCCAAATAATCATGTTACTAACACCACAGAGCAAGGCATACCTAAGGTCCTTTGCAGCAGATGACAGAAGCTTTTCCAACAACTGAAGTAATGATGGGAAAGATGATGGAAGCAGTTGAACAAGTTGTTGCAATGCACGAAGAGAAACTGCACTTTCCACAGCCTCTTGAAGAGTGGAGAGCACAAGGTTGGACTCCCCACAAGACCTTTCTAATTGCCTACAATGTCATATCATTTTAAAAATCATAATGAGTTATATTACACAGTATCATTAAACAAAGCAATATTCAATGATATATTACTGTTAATGGGCTACAATACTGGCACAACTTTAAAAGTACATATTTGAGTTAACACTATTATTTTATAATATATTATTGCCTCTAGGATGACTCATTGACAGCATACTAGCTTCCCGTGATGAGGTCCCAAGTCGAGGCAAAAATAGCTAAGAGAGATGTAGCTTTCCTTTCATATCATCCCAGTTTCCGTAGCTGTGTGATAAAGAAAAGCTCAGCAGGGAGATCTTGCCAGTTACGGCGAAGGGAATATGTCATGTTTGCCAATTGATGAACTTAGTCCCAAGCATGTGAATTTAACTAGGCCCACGCAAGAGGGACACTGTTAGCAGGCCAGCAAATTCGGACTATCACCCCCAAAATGCCGAATACACACATAATAATTATTTACACTTCTATGAAAACTTTTAGTAATGTTTACTCCATAATCACATGCTACCTTCATTTCTAACGCAAACAAAAACTTGTAACACATTTTATCACGAAACTTCAGTTTTTGAGTTGGGACAATATTGCAGACCATGAAGGATAAGTATTTACACCATAAGTTTCTATAAGCAACTCCACTCATAATCCCCTCTATATGATAACCATATGAAGTAATGGGATGACAAGGTAGTGTCTTCCTAGGCAGCACCTAACTCCACTGGACTCCACAGTAACTCCACTGGAAACACTTCTCTCACACAGCCTTAACATTGTACAATATAGTAAGTCAAACAAAACAGTCTTAAAAATTAAATAACAATTTTCTATGACATCTGATATATAAAAATCAATGTTTTTATTCACTGTTCATATTTTTGTGCTGCCATACCGATTATCCGATTGCGATAAAACTTACTTATAACTACGTCAACTTACAAGCACTTGTACGTCAATGTCAACTTACAAGCACTTGTACGTCAATGTCAACTTACAAGCACTGGTACGTCAATGTCAACTTACAAGCACTTGCACGAAGTTACAGACATAGTTCAATGGGGATGGGCGTATGTCTGTCACACACAGATGCAAATGGGGGCATTGTTGATAATGATTTATGCGTTTATGACTTAAGTGCCCCTGAACAGACGTTCTAAGCATCCCGCTGCACCTTCAAGTATCAAGCATGTCTTTGGTGCATATTCTGCCCCTGCATTTGTCAAATATCGGCCGGAATTATCACTTGAATGTTATCTTTTGAACACACAAGTAAATCAAATTTCTTCAAGAAACTTCAACCAAGAAGTGTAAATGCCCCAACTTGAGGGAGAACGTTTTAACAATAGGATACTTGACAATGATGTCCAAACCAGGACATACAACAAACTCTACTTGTGAGGAAGTATTTTATTTATTAAAATTTTTGCAATGTGTATCATAAAACATGATTAACAATCACGTGACAAGTAACGTGTGAAGTGTAATACATTGCAATAGCAAAACATTGCTCGGTCCTCTAGTAAACTATAGAAACTTCTTACCTTCTATTCAAACCTTTTTCAGAGATGGCAAGAAACCAAGCATGTATAATCAATTACCAATATATTCCAAATATTATGAAGGAAAATTGTAATTCGTGATGTAAATGATAATAATTTGTTGTCATCCATGAATTCAAAAACAATGTGGATTATCTCTTCCTTTCAGTTATGGATGTAACTGAACAAAAATCTTTCACATAAGCAAGACTACCCTATATATTTACTTACACATATTTTTAAATCTCACCTTTGGAAATGATGATAATTTTGTGAGAGGAACTTTTACCTCCAAGAATTTTATAGAAATGATCTTTATTTCATTCAGTTAATGAATTACTTCTATTCTCTATGAACAGCAAAATACAGAGTTCCACTTACTTGAGAAGAGAACACAATGTTTCATCACCACATGTCCACAACTCTGCAGCTTTCTTTGAATTTATCACTTTAAGATGTTCCTCCCAATTCGTCAAAGTATCAGCAGTTTGCTTCCAGGCAGCCCTAAAAAAAACACATTTTCCCTAACTGCATGTTTTATTTGAAGTTCAATATGTGTTAACTCCTTTTGAAATAAAATGTGCTTCTGAAGTTCGTATTAATATTTGTGGCTTTTTCAGCTTAGGTTTGAATAAAGAATCAACACTAATTAGGCAAACCTCTCTATTTTCTTCATCAAACACTGTGAAAGTTAATACTTTTATAAACTAAACCAAGAATTGAATTTACTCAACCTCCACTCAATATAGGGCAGTGCAGTAGAAACTACATACTACACCACTAGTATGCAGTGCAGTTCAGTTTAATGGATTAATTTTTGTTAATGAAGATGGAAAACTGACGGTTAGTTAGAAATAAGCAGAGTTCAAATCCAAGTTTTGAAGACTTCAGTCTAGTCAGTCATAGGATGTGAAAGAAGAAAAGCCGATGGTAGAAGTGGACCCATAACCAATGTTCAACATTTTTAATTATCAAATGACATGGATTTTCGGAGCTCTGTTGTTCCAGAGACAGAAATATCATAAATACTAGCATCATAAAGATTCCTCAGTAAAATACTTATGTTGGGATCAGGGGCATTTCTCAGGGGAAGGAAATGAGGAAATTTTTCCTTACATACGTTCAAAAAAATGTTTAATGGAATCTTATGGTTTAAAGCAAAGAATTTCTCCCTTGATTAAACAGCCATTCGGAAATGTCTTTTTCAACTGGATTAATACATCACAGGGCATTGCAACGCAATAACTCAATGTCAGAGGTTGGCGCAAGGCATAATTTTGCACCTTGGCTCATGCAGTGAAAAGTAAGCAGCTTGACCACTACACCAGGGATTACCCTTTTGTTCCAAATGATTGAAGTAATTAAAACAAACACGTATGTTTAAATAGCACCTTGTTCAATTGGTGATTCTATCATAGCATTGACAAATCAATTTCCAATCACTTTATCGTCACAAGTCGAGCCTAGAAGTTGAGGTATTTATTATGTGTAACAAGGGCGGACAAAAAGGAATTTATTTTCAATAAATAGGCATACAAAAAGACATTTGTTCAGTCTATAAGAGAGGGGCAAAATATCATGAAAAGTAAGACAATAGCCTTTAAAAAAATTATAGTATGTGGTCAAAATAATTTCAAAATTGTGTGCCAACACTTCTATTGGTATCACAACTTTATGCTTTAAGCGTTATGCACCTTAATTGGCACCATTGTTGAACAGTGTCAGTAAATCTTAGTACACAGGAAAATTATAATTAATACACAAAAAAGCAACCACAGCACTGATTTTCAAGACAGGCCTCAAACACAAAACCACAAATTACAAAACTATAAGTCTCACTAGCACAGTGAGAAAAGTCACGAAGGGATTGATTATCCAAAAACCTTGTGACTGTGCACACAAAAATTATAATCCAAAACAACAGCACCTTTTCATTTCTGGAAGATAGACAACAAGAAATATGATTAGCTCACTTGATGTTTGGACAACAGTCCTGGATAAAAGGCAACCCATGGACTTACTCTACCTAAATTATGCAAAAGTGTTAACAAAATCCCATGTAACTGACTCCTTTACAGGCTCAAATCCTTGGGAAATTGAGGAAAAACACTCAAATAGATCTGATAATATCTTTTGGCAGATCTTTCCAGGTGTGCATTGGCAGTAAACACTCTAACTGAGGCAGGTTACTAGATAAGTTCCTTTAGAATAGAACGAATGAAGAAGAAAGTCATACGAGAGCTTTGAATTAGATAACTTGATGACTGTGACAGTGTGATAACTGATAATAATCGTGAGAACTGATGATTTGATAGATAATAGTGGGATATCTTTACATCAACTTGTTGTGTATATTGATGTTTTGATACAACCATTATTTAAAAAATAAATGAAATAAATAAGTAATTTAAATGGCTCGAATTTTTATTCTAACACCGAAATTTATATCAGCAATTACATGGAAATTTGACCTCTACTGGAATCTTGTATGCAAATAACCATGATTTTTTTCCCTAAAATTTTCTACAAACCAATCACGCATGAGAAAGAATACTTTTCACTATTGAAAATTTTCCTTAATGGCCTACTAAATTTTAGCATGATGACTACAATTCACTCACAATGCTGTGAGTATTTAAACATGAAATTCCTCGAGTCCAAAGAAAACTAGTCAGCATCTTTTAACTAAATTCAAGAATTTTGACTCGTATTGTCAAGTTTTCTCCAAGCTATTTCTAACACTTCCTATCCTCTGGAGTCTGAGTACAACTCTTCCTGCCTAACACTGTGCATCAGCTTGGAGGGGAAGATAAAACATGACAGAACCCACCTGTCCAGGCTTACTGAAAAGTTTCAAGACTGATCAACATTGTTGCTTACAGAATTAGTGATGCTACATAACAGCATATACTTTCTAGTATGATTTCTAACATTTGCAATATTCGAAAATTCAGAGACCTGTGCCATTTTCTAAGGGTCTATTACACTATCCAAAGGCAAAATTCAATCCATAAAATTGGAGTCTTTTTACTAAAAGTTTGAAAATATTGAGGCTTCATGTAAAGTTCCACCAAAGACCAAAATATCTATTTCAAACTCTCAGGACCTCGAGTTTGTTCAATCATAGAAAACCAATTTTGGAGAAAATCATCTGAATGGTTTAGGAGCAATCATTGGCCACAAACTGACAGACATTACCACTAACCAATTTTTAAGTATGAAGGACCCATAAAAAATTGATTCTGAATACATGTTACAGGAAGTAATTTACTATTAATTAATTAATTAATTTTTGAAAAGGCCCACAATATGAGTTTTTCTGATGATTTTGATTTCCACAGCAGTGATATAATACTTTCTCTTTACTATGTACATATGTAGTAATGCAAGAAAGTACAAAGGAAAATAATGATAAAAGAAGAACAAAAAAGGTCAAAATACAACACAACTCTTAAAATTGGCCATAGAACCTAAAATATGCAAAAAGAAGCAAAACAAAACCATTTGAAATCCTTCCAGAATCTCGTTTAAGTGATTCATATCACTAGAAGTCTTTATATTGTAAGAATAACAGGAAGGTATTATGTCAATCCTGCAGGCCCTAGACATAATTATCAAATTTTGTGATAAATTAATAGTAGTTCCCAGTTATCACTATATTTACCTCACCAAGAGTCCCTATAGATATCAAATTAGTATTCTAAATATTTCCAAGCACTGGAACTCTCAGTAATAGAGGAATTTCTTAATTTACAAAGTCTTTTCACAAGCTTTCATGTAACTGTTGACAGATATGCTGATGTAGTCAATACTTACTTCAAATTGGATGGTGTTGCTTGATCACTTTGTGACTGACAATATTCCCGTACACTATTTAAAAGTTGGATTCGACAGTCTCTGTCCATGCCTTCCTGAGCTGATACAGTAAAACATGATCCCCGAGCAAATGCTTCAACGTCTTTTGCTTCCATCAAGCTGAAGTATTCCTGGCATATATCTAACTGTTTCAAGCACTTTTTTACATCTACAGGCTCTCCGCTCCCAAGCACCTGAAATATCCCACACAATAATAATATTCATTACTCATTTATCTAAAAAAATCAATTTTCACTCATAATATGATTTTTTTTATTTAATAAAAAATCACCTGTAAGAAACAGTGGAGAGCCCAAGCACCGTATATAGAACTGGGTTGTGTACCATCCTGAATAGCATCTGGCAACCCTTGCACCAGTTTCGCCACAGCACCAACATTATCATGATGAAGCACTGGCCTTAATACTTCCAATACTGATTTCTCACCAGAAACAAGATCCTTATAATCAATATCTAAAAAATAAATAGTAATATTTTTAAATATATCATAAGGGATAATATACTGTCTGTAAAATTGATTGGCTCTTAAAGTAATTTCACTATCTAAATGTCAATAACTTCAAAAATAATATATAACAAAAACTATATGTTAAAAAAACAATGAAACAAAAAAGGAAAAAGAGAAAACAAAAAAACCAAAAAAAACAATTAAAAGACATTAAAATTATGTAATTAATGACAATAAATACCAATGTAATCACTCTTCTCACAAATTGTAATAGCAGCACTATCTGCATTCTAAAAAATATTGGAATCAAAATCCACAAGAAGTAGACTCACCAGTCGAAATATTTTTCACTTTCTTAAGAAGTTTTATATGCTCTTTTGGAGGTAAGGAATTTGTGACAAATAGTTTGGCCACTGATGCTAAAAGGTTGTAGTACTCAATTAAACGTGCATGATCAGTTCCTGATAGACTTGGATACACGTACTGTGTCATTCTGAAAGAAAAAAAACTAGTACTTGTATTTCTTTCAATTTATTGCAAAGTTAATTTTTTTCAATATTTTTGTAAATAAACATGGATTTACAAGCAGAAAGCCTCCCAGTCCAATATTTACTAAGATGTTGTAACCGTACGCAGGAACCCAGTCAAATAAACTTGGAAAAGTAAATAGTATTATTGTTTTGGAAAATAATGTTTTAGTAAATAAGTTCGTAAAAGAAGAAACAAATGACAACGTGGACGTGCAACCGGATTTTATATTCTTGTTAAATAACAGGTGAACTTTCTAACTAGAAAATGAATGTTTAAAAAATAAACAATTTTAAGAATAATCTGAAGAAATTCGAAAAGCGGGGACAAAGAAAGAGAACTTTAAGAGGCAAAAAGATACTTACTCAGAAAGACAAATGAATATAGGCAACTGATGTAAGTAGCTATTGAAATTAGTTGAAATTTCAGCAAAGCAGGTGAACCAGGGGGGCAATGAACGCGGCGAATTAAAACGCAAAATTTTCAGAACCTCTGAAAAGTGCCAAATTAGAATATAGGTAAAGAAAATATAAAATGTTCCAAAAGATCTCAGTGACAGAGGAAAGCAAGCATTTGTTTATTTTATTTTATTTTATTATTATTATTGTTGCTGAAAAACAATCGAAAGAATGTACTGTCTGGGAGAACACAGAAGGATGATAGATTTTGAGTCGACGACATGTGCTAGCATGTGCTGTCAAGTTTTTTTTTTTTTTTTTGGGAGAGTGAATTGTTATCACAGAGAGGAGCAAGAAATACAGCATTTAGTAGGTTGCATAGAAACGCATAGGAGTTGTGGAAATATGGAATGGAGAGCTCAGTTGATGGAACTTTATGGTATATTTGGTGCATGGAACGGATTTGCCAGCCGACGTCAATGCTATCACAGCCGGGGAAGTGAACATTCAGCAAATATTACGTATGTGGCCATCAAAATTATAATGTGCATGGTACGAATGAGAATAGTGTAAATATTTTGTTATTAAGTGTGCATGTTAAATTTAGATTCTTTTGTTATTGTATAGAAGGTTTCTTTTTGTTTTGCGTAATGATTTTATCAGTAGCGTCACAGAGGAAAGTAGCAACGGCAAAGATTAACGCTGTCGAATATACAACAGTACAACCGAACACGGTACTGAATATACAGTTGAAAAATGTCTAAATCTCCTTTGGGTTTGTAGATTAAGAAAGATAATTCCCCTTCCCCATTACCAATAAGATAATGAAAAATATCATTTTCCCCATCATGTACAGGAGGGAACTTCAGTCCCATGACCCAATATAAATTTTCCAGTGGCAACACTGCTCGTGCTGAAAATATTATTATTTTAGAATTAGTTAAACAGAGTTTGGGTCTCAGGAAACACATAATAGATGTAAGGAAATAATTCTAATACAGATAGAGGCATGACTAGGGAAGGACACAATGTTCTTGACCTTGCGAGCATAGTTTTGATGTATTGCATTCTCTTCTCCTCTGTATTTCAAAATTCTTTACATTCCTATGTCTTCATTAGTATGTACATTTTTTTAATGAATTTAAAAAATAGTGACAGATTTTATATAACTTTGCCAAAAAAAATTAGGGATACTTAAATTCAACTATTAAATTTCTTGTACCCAGTAATCACTCTTCAATTACTCTGCAATACACAAGCAGCAGTCCATTTTGGGTCAAACATTTGATAGAAACATTGAAGAGTGGTATAAATTTTAGAAGTCTGTTTTAGGAGAGCAGTTTAGTTTCTATGGTTATTACATTTGATATTGGTCATAGTTTATAATTGATCCAGTAAAATATTTTTTTTAAATGTGAAGCTCACGGAATAATATATTTTTTAACTCCATTGTATTATTTAGATACATTATAATTGACATTAAAATTATTCTTTTAATTTTGCATTAAAAAAAGTTACACAGCAGGATTTTATATCCTGTCAAAAATGCACGTTTCAATACATTTCCTTTTTTAATTTCAATGAAATACATTATCACTGAAGGAGATATCTTACTTCAAAGTACATCATCTGTTATTTATTAATAACACGCTAAAACCATGAGAAAATTTTGCACACTCGAACTCTTTTGCATAGTTTGATGGCCAGAAACACATTATTTCACTTGGGGATCAAAAACGTTGACACACAAATAATTTCAGAAAGTCCCATCTTAAAAGTATTTGCTCTAACTGACATATTAAATAGGGAATATAGGTTTTTGTGATCAGCTCATCAAACATTCAGCCAGCAGGTGGTTGAACAGTTTTTAAGTCCTAACATAGCTCTCAAATAATGCATTTCTTTAATTTTTGAAAATCCAAAAGAAAGAGACAAAATTTAAAGAAACTGATCCTCATGAAAAGTATTTCAGTATATTGTATAGGAACCTCAGGTAAAGTATCCCTCAAAATGAAAATATCTTTAATAAACTCAAAAAGCCTCTGCAACAACTAGATTAACTAGGGAGCATATATTTTGCTGAGAAATCTGTGTACAGTTTAGGCTCTAGTATTGTTTCTCTTATTTACAGTTTTAACAACTTGAAAACTCCCAAAAAGAGAAATACAGCTTCACCCGAGAGCCTAAATGCTGTACACCTCGATATATGAAGGGAAGTTATGTGACTACCCTGTGGCAGATTCGGGGGTAGGGGGCACCTACGGATGTCCAACTAAAATTGCTCCTGCTCGCCACCCCTGCCCCCAGCTCCAAAAATCCTACTCCACCTCCCTCGCTCAGGTGCATAGGACCAACACTCTGACCCAGCTCCATTGTCTTTTGACACATGACTCCAATTCAAGGTAGATGGGAAGCTTTTGCTGTGTGCCACAGAGTACAGCCCCAAACCGGCTAGGTACTTCAGACATTTCAAAATTGCATGTTGACAGAATAAATTATTAATATTTAGAGGTAAAATATTTGTGTTTGACATAGTTCATCCTTGCTTGTTGATCAATATCTTCAATTTAAGACCATTTCTTGGTCACTTTGTTTAACCGATTGTTCTCAAGAAATGTACAGCAAAATCTTGCTTCCCATTAGCATATAGATAGTTAAATTTGAAAACCAATAATAAAATTGTTTGGACTGATCATGCTTACCTTTCACAAACAATGCCAGGTTCGGAATTTAATCGTTTACGAAGAGTAGGATCCTCAAGACGTTCTACTAAAGCAGAAAAGCTTAATTCTTCCGGGGGTGCTAGTAACAATGCATTCACATGCATAGAGCCAATTTCTCCCACAGAGACTCCATGTCTAGCCCCAAGGCTAACAGCCAATTCGAACTGTTCTGGCTTCACTGTTCTATAAAGATATTACAAATTACACATTTGGAATCTGGTGAGTGCAAATGAAAAAAAAAAAATTGTTAAACATTTCACATACGCATTTCACACAACATATTACACATTTGACAAACAAACACACACACGCACATGCATGCACGTGCCCATGTGCGTGCACACACACACAAAAAACAAAGCTGGGTTAGTTACAGCATTTATAACTCAAGGACGGCTGGACTAATTTTAATTATCTCCGATTTGTTGGACTAATCTCTGCCCTGAAGAGCAGAATAACTATTAAAATATCCAAAAAATTCAATATATGGCCCTGTAGAACAAAACTAAATATTCATGTTAAATGCAATTTGCAACAAACTGCATGATTTTTTGAATCTATATCGTTACATAATTTATAAACAAAGCATTCTAGGGCATTAAAAACTAAACTTTTGTTGCAAAAGACCTCAAAGAAATGTTTCTCACACCATAATCTAAAGGATGAGATCTTGAACATTCTAATACATTTTTCCAGGTCTGGCGTTTCTCGACATTACAATTATAGGGATACTCGATTATAGGGAATATCAGACAGTAACGAAATGGAATTAACGTAACAATTGTTTTTCAAATAGCATTATTAAAAAAAATCTATATCTCAAAAAATTGTTCACTATTAAAGACTTTGAAAAATAAATACACACAATGCTAAACCCAAAATGGACTCCCGACGGTACTGTGAATCACTGGAGAAGAGCTGAAGGTCAACCCCACAGCCGCAATCTTGCAATTGCTGTCCTTCCACATAATCAGCCAATTGGTGGTGATGGCGCAGCAAAGCTGCAGCCCAGTCGGGAGGAGGTTGCAGCCCAGCAGCCAGGCCTGCCATGTACTGCACCAGCTGCACACAGGAAGCTTGCTTTACTTTCCAAAAACTAAATTGTTATTTGTAATTGTAAGAGTACTTTACTCGTTTTAAAAAAAAAGTGAAACAAGTTATTTTTCCAAATTACTCATTTATAAAACAAAAATCTTGGTTGATAAAATACTAGTTGAACTGCATGCACATCAGCTTCAAGAAGTGTTTATTTGCGTCAAATTTGCAATTTAACAGACAATAATTTGTTACCCACGCTTTCCGAGGATTGAATATTTTATCAATTACAATATTGCTTTGGCTTACCAACAATTTTCTATTCCCTTGCTCCTCAAAATTAACCTTTTTTTAATTTATCATATTAAACAATTCAAAGTTCATTGTGTTGTCTTCAACTCAATTCTTTATTGCATTTTAGGAGTTGCAATTTCCTTGTTTCTTTCAGTATTTGAAATAATGCCATATTGCTATTAAAGATCCGTTTAATTAAAACTCACAGCTTTTCCCAAATAAAACTTTCAAACTCTCACATATTTGACAACTTCCACTCCATTCATCACCACACTAAAATCAGATATTGAACAGTGTCTTTCATTTAGTCAAAGTATAATTAAAAGCAATACAATCATTGTAGTAGCCAAAAATTATGTACATGGTTTTATCAGTATTGAAGCTGAAACAATTTTTAGTCAGCCAATTTGTAATCACTCTAAATTCGTCTTCAGCTTTAGTTAACACCTCACCCCATGTACTACCCGTAATAATTACACTAATTATTTCATGAGCAAATGACAAAATTTCACCTATTGACAAAAGATTGAAAATATAATTTACATCTATGGGGCTACATAAAGCTGAAGAGGGGGCAGGAGGTTTAAGGCAGTATTACGTTGCATTACATAGGAGAAGGAGGGCAATGGTTTAGTGTTACTTAATGCTGATATTTATTTTTCAAATCTTTCAACATTCACTGAAATAATTCCTTTTATTCAGACTTATACTAAAACATTAATATATTAAAAAGTTAAATTAAAAAAAAAAATAAATTAAAGAAGATATATAGAATAAATTATTGCGACAAATAAAAATCTTTCATCAATGATACATTAATTGAATTTCATGAATTACAAAGAAACTATTCAACTGGTCTATAGAATATTCTAGAATCCAATTAAGTTGATGCAGAAGACTGAGAGCCTATGCGTCATCCATGTCTGCATGTGCAAGGCTTGTCAGAAATTATTTCGCATACGTGTCCTTTCATTCAAAAATTGTCCCCAAACATATTGTTATGTGCAGTCCACACCACCAACTAAGTCTCATGTTAATTATAATAATTTTAATAATACATCACAAATTCAATTAATATAACTTGATTCAACTTTAATATTGAGTTTTACTTATTATAATGGAAGGGGAAGGGGGTCTTGTCGCAAGTGTTATGTAATTATTAGAGAGGGGTTCAAGTTGCAGATGTGTTACACAGGCGAGGGGAGTATTCAAAATACTCAAAATTTGCATTACACAATTTATGAACGACCCCTATATATAAAGAAAAGGGACTGAGACAGACATAAAAACTTAATCAATTTAGTACTGGGAGTGTTTAAAGAGAGGTTTAAATTAAATAGAGCATGTGGAGGCATTGTCGGTGATGATTTAAGCATTTATGATGACTCAAGCACTCCTGAACAAAAGCTCTACAAAACTCGTACCATCAAGTATTAAGCACGTCTGTCACGGCATACAAGTATTCTTGTATTATGATTGTGAAATATTGACGAGAATAATTATTGAACTTGGACACATAAATCAAATTTCTTCAACAAAGTGTCATAACAAACACTTGCCCAAATTAGAAGAAGAATGTTTTAACAATAGGATACTAGACGACTTTCTCCAAAGCAAGTCATAGAACATTCCCATACTCCCAAGGCAATCTTTTATCTATTAAAATTTTTGCAGAGCATAGCATAAATCACGTTACCAGTAAATGTGAGATGACTCACTGCAATAGGAGGATGGTCTCTCACAATCATTTCAATACTGAAAGTCATTAATTTGAACTACTTGTCTTCTATCCATTAGGCAATTCAATATCAAATCATGTACAATACCTCTAAAACCCATTTTATTCAAAATATATAAGGAATATCTTTAACTATTTTAGTCAGTTCTATTGCATCTTCAGTAATTCTGCCTTCCTAAAACCCACAACAATGTGGATATATTATATTGTGATTCAACTGAGACTGAAAAAAGCTTTCTTCCTGACATTTTCTATTCTTTGCAAACTTTGACATAAGAGATATAAGTCTGCATTTGTTGGATTATGAGTTTCTCCATTCTTAAACAGAAGTATGACTAGAGCCTTTTTAAAATGTACTGGAATTATTTCAATTTCTTTGTAACTTTATTATTCATTCAAAGTGGTTGTGCTGTACAAATCTCAATAATCTTTATCACAAGACCCTTTAGTATTAGAGGCATGAGGCAATTATTGCAATTCCAAAAGATGGAGTATTAATAAAAACAATTGTGAAAGTCAAAGACTTGTGCCTAAGGTGCGATCTAAATGCATCACCTTTCAAGCAGCAGTTGAGCTCCTCCTGTCTTAGCTTAACTTCTGGCTACTTAGGTAAGAATTTTTTAATAATATTTATAACAAGAAGAATTAAAATACATTACCTGAAGTGGGGCATGAAGAAAAGTATCTTTTACTCTTTCTTTGTTGCCACAGTGGATGGCCAACCAACCCTTAAGAGCAAAACAATAACAGGCCAATTGCAGGGAGATAGATGTACAAGGTAACTGACGAAACACTTCCTCCACCCGAGCTACATCACCCACTGCCAGCAGATGGCAAAGTCCTAGAGCTGAGTCCTCAGGTAGCAATCGCATGCTCAACTCACAAAGAACTGCAACATTCAGAGAATACATTCAGTCATCTGAGTTCAGAAAGTTCAGTTTACAAGAACAAAATTAACAATTTCCATGTGCATTTATCCCCACTACATGAAAGTTTTAATACAGTGAAACCTGCTCAAACAGCCACCTCGATTAAGCTGTCACCATCACTTACAAACATTTTTTTTGTGGAACCAATTGATTTTTTCGCAAGGCTTATAATAGGGTGGTCCTTATTTTGGAAAAGGTCTGATGTTTTTGAGTGCTCCCCCAAATCAAAAGTAGAAAATGAAAAAATAAGTATGCTGCAAAAAAAATGTAAAAAATAAATAATAATAAACCGTCCCCCACGCAGGTTGAATTTTAAATAGGATTGAACATGAGTTTTCCGTTTTTTTAGGTTAAAACCGTTGAGCACTTGGTTTCCATCAGTTCAAGGTGAAACTTAGATTCCTTAAGTTTTCAATACCGCTGAATCCAAATATTATGTCAAAAACTGGTTTTGACTCATGACAGATGCCAAAAAAGCAGTCAATAAAAATTCATTTTTTAAATACTCAAAATTGTACGGTTTTGTTGTATTTAAATGCAAATTACGTAAAGTTTCAGTTTAAAAAAAATATTTACGTATTTCGCTAAATAACAACTGTCAATTAAGCTGTCAATTAAATTTTCAATCGAATTTGTAGTTTTTTTCTCGGTCGACATTGGTAGTCGATAGTCTTTTGAAAGAGGATAAACTGAACTCACCATCAGGATTTAGATTATTTTTAAGGTCTCCAGAAGTAGATTGTTCAAGTAGAACAGTACGTAACAAATAGCGGCACATTTTGAAAGAACGATCTTGAATATCTGGTTGAGCAAATCTATCATAACGAATATCCAAATTACTCATATGACACTCTGGAGAGACCGTTGCATAGAATGCAGGAAGGCCTTGACACGAAAATGGAGAAAAATTTTCTTCTTCCAATTCAGATGAGTTGAATTCTCCACCCCAACTGAAAAACATAAAAAAAATAATATCATGATAACATATCTTCTAAACTTGACTTATAAACTATGAAATAGTGTCTTTCCCTCTCTCTCCCTCTGTCAGTATGATATAGCACATGACCAAATAAGCAGTGTTCAAAGGAAGATTTTTTGCACATATATGCCAAGAAAATATTCAAAATTACACTGGTAAAAATAATACTAATTGTTATATGACCTCTCAAGCAAATGTTTATCCACACGCAAATATCATCAAGTATTTTTGTACATGTACCTAAAACTGTTCTTCCAAAAGTCTTTACTACTGATGTTGTGAATAAGATTGTAAGTTGTTTGTTTCAGAGCTTCGGTAGAACGGCCAACAGTTTTAGCCAAACTAGATGGTACAAATTCTTTTTGTGGAGTACCAGGCTGGAAGAAATAAATACAAGAAATAAACTATCATTATTACATCTAATAAATTAATATTAATCATCACATATGATTTCATAATAATTATTAACTCTTCAACACAAAGCCAAGATTGAGTGCAATACTATTCCGATGCAAGTAAAGGGAAAGGAGATTTGTGTGTCCCTATGAAATAAGGTAGCTAGCTCAATGCAATTCTGCAATCACCCTTTCCCCATATGCATCCAGTCCAAGGGGAAAGACCCTTCATGACTAGAGATTGACTCCCCAGAATAGGGGTGAAAGGAAGAAGTCTCAAGATGGCATTCTGCATTAAAGGGTTAATACGGATTGTTTTGCAAACATGCCGATGTCAAAGCATCCGAAAACTCTTCATCATCCACTATACTTGGATCAACTTGACTATTGATTTCTTTATGAAGAATTTCAGACTCCAAAAGGCACCTATAAAAAGTAATTTAACTTCAATTAGACATAATATCATCTGCAAATCAAAAGAATCAAGTGACAAATTTCCACTACATAATAAATTTCATTAACAAAACATAATTCTAATAAATATTGTAGGATCTATCTTGGGAATTGAAGAACAGAAACAAGCTAACAAATTTAATAATATATAAAAGCATGTGAAAACAAATTTTAACATACCTTGCTCTTATAAGAGGCTCAATATTTTCTGGAGGGCAATGCAACAAAGCAAATCCAAGCAGTGAATTGCGAAGTTTCAGATCAGAAAATTCAGAACACATGCCAAAATTCTGAACAACTTCCCAAGCACCTGGAAATCCATTATCTACAATACGTTTACACATGTCAGCACAAAATGTCAGATCCTTTTCCTGTAAAGTAAGGAAAACAGCTTTCAGACACTACACCATAAAAAATAACATGAAATTAAGATATAATTTTTCTGACTCTGAACTGCATGTTAGTAAAAACAGAGTAAATAAGAATTCATTAAGACAGTTAATTACTTTTCTAATAACAATATCTTTCATAAATTATTCAATAACTAATATTTGGAATTAATATCTATGATAATACACTTCAACAGAAACTACAGATGTCATCTTCTAACTAATTTTCTCAGAACATGACAACATGAATATTAAAAATGGACAGTAAATAAAATTTCATTAATAATCGTGAGTCAGCTTTTAGTCAATTGAAGAAATGCACAATTACCTATTCTTATTTTTAATCAAAAACGGCAAAACATGAGGTATACAAAATCAACCTTAGTAAATACATACTTAAGTAAATGAATCAAGCAATCAGTAGTGAGATTTTGCTGTGGGGAGGAGGGAGATGCAAATTCAAGATCCTATGCAAATTGAATATAAAGGTCATGTATGTAAACTTACACATTTTCTTAGTTTTACCAAGGGAGGATTGCTACCCTTTCCACCCCCAAATACCATCATTGGTATTGCCTATCAATGCTCCTCTTAATCTTCAACAGCAGGCAAACATTTGACTCGTATATTTCAATTAATTGCTCAAATATACAAATATATTTGTAGTAGTACTTTTAACTAATACATATGTAAAAACATAGATGAAAATAATGTGAAACATACATTCATGGAGGCACAATCAAGGCAGTATCAACTATTATAACGTTCTAAATTTTCAATGCTGAATGGTCCTTATAAGCATGCTCAGTTTTATAACATGTCTTAAATGTCACACCTATTTTTACTGTAATTACAGAGAAATTAAGCAAGAGAACATACTTTCAAAGCAGTTTCAGCAACTATGGACAATACATGGCCTTCCCGTTGCCGAGCATCTGAACCTGACACTCGCAGTTTCTGAGCCAGCTGTAATAAACGATGCCAACTGCGATATGCCAGAGGCTTCTTACGAACACAAGATTCTACCAGCTTGAGTCTGTCTCTGCACTGGCGGACTAGAGGAAAAAAATTAAACAAAACACCTCTACTTTAGTTAAATGATGACAAAATTGCATGAAATAAAGCTGAACCAATAGTTGTAACATGCCAACATAATCAGTATATTTTTGCTACAAACATGTACATTTCCAGAGCTATTTCCATGTGACTGTATTTATAACATCGGAATAAAATAACAAGGAATCTAAGAACACAAAACTATTTGAAAAAACTTACAATTTTTCAGTATTTACATAGAATTAACAAATAGAACACATTGTTATTTTCTTTTCATTTTAAACTTTTACTAAACTTCTATATAAAAACAGAAAAATCAAACTTATTCAAAATGCAATTAAAAACATAATTATACATATTTCCTATAGGCATTACTTACCCTGTAAAGGTAACATTGAAAGACCAAAGTCATTCAACAACTGAAGGGATGCAATTAGATCAAGATTTTCCTGAATGGATGGCTCTTCTTCCACAATCAAATGCAAACATGCCCTACCACACAGAAAGTTTGTAAAAACATTAATATAAAGATAGTTTAAAAATTCATTCTAATTTTAAAACCAAAGGAACACAAGAAACAACAAATAATTTGTACAAATATGCAACCATATACAAAAACAATCCCAATAAACTGAAGTAAACAAAGTTGATAATCACTCACTTTGCTAATTCCATAGCTGGGTCAGTGAGACTGCCGGCTGAATCAAAGTATTCTCGTGCTACTTGAAGAACTAGTTGTACACTACGATCAAAGGGCACTCGCTTGTAGCTGCGCCCTGTTTGCTGCACTTCTAATATATCAGATGCCATACGAATGTTTCCTGCAGAACCCGATGACAACAAAGTTTCAGCATACATCTACCAAACACAATAAAATTCATCAACATTATTTTTGGTGGTAATACAAAGCATCTAAATAATTCAATTCTAATGACACCTGTATTGTCACTAGACATAAGAGTCAAAGACATACTAATTTTATAAATAAAACATTATAGCATTAATAAATAAAGACTTGCAAAGCCACAGGAGTTAAGTGCCAAAATGTTTTCTTCAGGAGATCAATAAAAATTGTATGAATTCATATTTTTGGCATACAACTAGAGCCTTCACTCGGTAGATGTTACAACTACTTGGAATGTGTTTGGAACAATGCTCTTTACACTGTGCAATTTATGTAATATTTGGATGTCAAAATATTTGTTTCCAAAATGTTGGTTCTTAGCTTCTTTGGTTTTGCATGGACTCAAATATTGTTGTAATAAAGATATCACAACAATATAGTTAGTGTTAAATAATATTATAAGCACCTCGTAAACAGTCTGCAGACTGATGCAGCTAAACACTTTGGCATGCAGAGTCAGCATATCATTTAAAAGTTCTTCCCATTGCATTTTAGTTGGAGGAGGAACTCTGAAAGCATAAAATTTATTAAAAGCCTTATCTCAAAACATTTTATTAAAACTGAAAGAAAAGAAAAAATATTACACCAAACATTTCAAAAAACAAATTAGTTGTGAACAACAATTTCATGTCATTAATCTACTACATCACAGTTTTCAAATCTATTTGTGGAAGATTAGTAGGGAGATCTAAGAGAAAGAATGCAGTCTCTTCAAGAATAATTATTCACAAAAAGTACAATTTGAAATGTTTACCATTTGTATGTAGTGAAGCAGTTTTGAGGCAGTGGGGGCTAGCTTAGCATAAACCTTTTCTGAAATAATAATTCCCTTTTCATGTTTGCCAATGGCTTCTCAGAATAAACAGAGAATTAGAGCATATCTTAAAATGTATGGCTATTACTGACTTGTGAGAAACAACAACACAACAACCTGCAATCAATGGTTGGTTAAAAGAGTGACCAAATATACAACCAAATGAGCCTGAAGCAGCTAGGCACTTGCCATGCCTACCGCATCACACCTCAAAACAGTTACTATTAGTACAGAATATTAGAATAATACTAATATTTCAACCAAAAGACTCCTCTGTTATAAGAGAAATTTTAAGATAGATGAACACATGTTTTAGGCAAAAAACATTTCTGTTATTGAGATGGTTGGGAAGATACATCTTAACCCTTTGCGCTAAGTCAAGTGGAGCTAAACATTGGGACAAATTGAATCTTGTGCTCTGATGTCTCAAATGTAACTAATATTCGTTTAATTTTAATTGTATATTATTTTTCGATTCTAGTCTAAAATATTTAAAACATAATACTTTTATTATTTTTGAGGTCAAATATATGATTGATTAATTTATTATAATTTCATCAAACAAAACAAGAGTGTTACAAAAGTGTTACAAAATTAGATGTTTTCCTAAATAATTACATATGATCTTTGTTGACAATTCGTATGAGATCCATGTGTAGATCAACTTGTTGCTACTTCCATATAGCATAAATGAATAAAATGACTGACACAGGCCTGGCGGATATTATCAACGTCCATAGGTAATCACTAGAAAATACCAGTAATGCCCCCCTGCCCCAACAGTGATGCTCACTTTGGGTGAAAAGTCTCCCCTACAAATTGTTACAGAGATGAAGGATTCTGCGAACTCACATATCTTGGAGTGAATATTAATAATGCAAATAATATAATTGATGAAATCAACAAAAGGGTGATAAGAAGAAGTAATGCATATTACACGAACATACCCTTAATATCTCCTCTTTTTTTACCAGGGAAATAAAAGTTAAGTTATGTAAAACCTTAATACGACAAATAGTAACTTACAAAGCAGAAACATGAGTCCTTACCATTGGGAACACTGAGACTTATAGATTTGAGAGGAAAATCATAAGACAAATATATGGAGCTGCTACGGATGAAGAAAGATAGAAGATAAGATATAATGAAATAATAAACAACATACTCAAAGGAGAAGATATAGTTAGATTTGTAAAGTCTCAGAATTTCTTCATTAGCACATGCGCAAAGAATGGGAACGGAGATTGGTTGGTTGGTTGATTGATTGTTAGCGAGTCTAGGCACATCAACTATTAATGTCATTAGTCTGTAAGAATAGTGCACGTTTTCCCCAGGAAATGGCGAAGGTCTTCCCCTGAAGAATGACAACATCCAGCATCAACCTATCGTCAGCTACAATGGTTTTCCCCAACCAGGTCCCTTCCACCAGCAGGGCACCATCCCAGCCGAGACAAGCTCTAAGCTCTCTACCAGTCTCCTGGCATGTGTGATAGAGTACGACACGTAAGTGTAAGTGTATGTAAGTAAGGAGAGAGGATAGAACAAGGAAAAGGAAGGGAAGATTGCATGTGGCCCGCGGCCCATAGAAAGGGTACTGCTCCGACATTCACCTGGTGATGATCAGAGAAACCACGGAAAACTACTGATCAGAGCAACTGTCCAATACAATTCTCCTCTAGACAGAGTCTGAATTAAACCTAGCTAGCTAGTGTCAAAAATCCTGCGACTGGCAAGTCCTTGAACGTAGCATTTCCCGATAAAAGGTACTGCAATAACATCAGATGATTCCCTGAGCCACCTCTCCTGGTAGAATGAGAATGAAAATAAGGTCTCAAAACTTACAAGAAAATAATATTCTGTGAGTAAGACAATGTGAAAGCTCTAAGAAAAGTTAGACTCAGAATGTTGTGGTTGACGAGAAGAAGATGAAAGTTATTGGATAATGGGAGAATGTTCAGAGAGAACAGGAATGAATGCACCCCTGGCTCACATTGGGCTGTAATGCTTTGAAAGAAGAATATTTTTACTGTTTACTAGGTCATTATTACATCTATTCATAGCCAGAAGCCTTGCCACTGACTAATTGGTTGAATGTATCTTGATACACGTGTAGTTAACATAGATGTCTTATGTATCTCATTACATTAACTCAATGGCTCCAGTACAACAAATCAAAAAAACAAAACAACAACAACAACAACAAACAATCGATTTCCAGTTCACTTTTCAGAAATTTTGTTGAAACAAAAGGGACCATCCAACAAAATGAGTGTGAACAATGCAAAGGTGTATAATGCATTCGTAGGCTTTCATGGTCAGAGTCAATACATTCTTGGCTATCCGGAATGAGCCACGTCTCGGTCAATTGCAAGCAAGATGGACAAAACGTCACCACAATTGACCGAGATGCAGCACATCCCAGATAGCCAAGAATGTAAAGGTGTATAATGTTTGTAGTTACATCATTTCAATTTGTTCACAAAGGACCTGCAGAATTTGGAGCACAAAGGGTAAAAGAGAAGAGTTCCTTTTAAAGATAAATTATTGGTCCTGGTCAAACTTATATGGGTAGGGCAGGTTGGTATTCAGATGACAATATTACATTGGTCTTAAGGGGGAAAACAGAAATACCAATAAATCATTCAGGAAGAGAAAAGGGTCATGAAATGGGAATTCCACTGTACATAATTTAATGGAATACAACAATTTTCTTGTAAAATCAAAAGCCGGATTCAGAAATAACATGCCAACTATACATGATTTTATACTTGTAGTATTTAACACACAAGAAAATAATCTACAAATTACTTAAAACTTTCCTCAGAAAAAAAACTATTAAATAGAAATGTGCCACAGTTAAGTACTTATATAAGAAAAATAATGAAAAGAACTTATTGAAGAAAAAATATTCTAATCATTAAATTTCATTTCTTATGTAGATATGTGTATGTTTATGAATCTTTCATTTTAATTTCATTTGTACTTTTTAAATTTTGTTACATCTGAGTGATGCCAGAAACTTAACTACGTAAAATGCCAGGAAAGTCTCTCTGCACTGAGCTGAATCAAGGCCTCCCATTAAAAATTGTATTTATTGGTAGCAACCAGATCACTGACAAACAAGTGAAGGGGACACAACTTATAGCATCTGTTATCATTGTGGTGAGTTGACAATTTATATTTTCTTTTGTTATAAGCTGCAGCTTATGCTACCAAAGTAACTTCTGTTTCTAGCACTTTCACCAGCAAGGTGCCACTGGGAAGAGACTTTCCTCGTCCATCGTAAAAGTAACTATTGCACTATAAATTAAATAATTAATTAATCAATTCATTCAATAATATAATTAAACTGATTCAATTCATTAATTAACAAATAAACAATGACAAAGCATTGTTTTCTCTGCACCAATGCACCCAATATTTTGTCCTTTTATGAGGACTTCTTCAAGACTTCAATCTGTATGTCTTACACAACAAAAGAAAATAAATAAGCTAATGATAAGTTACTTTTTATTTTGATCATACTTTCTTAAAAACACAACTGACAAAAAGAGTAAGAACATACAAACTTTATTAGTTTCAATGCACCCACATAAATATGCATTGAACCATGCAATAAAACCAACCACAGAAATACATTTTAGTTTGAAGTAAATACTCACTTTCGAGCAAAAGAGCGAGACAGTCTCAAGAGAAGTTGTTGGACACTGGTAGGATGAGCTTTGCAATCTCTGATGAATGAAAGGGGTTTCGGAAGGTCATTAATTGAAAGAATGTTAGCAGCCTGAAGATCATTTTCTACTTCTTGTAATCTTGACAGTTGATTGCTTTCTCCGGGTCTGTGGAACGAAACACACACTAATATGAATTTGTATCATGCATCAAATCTAATACAGGAAAATACATATTTGGAACACTTTTCTTTATTTCTTATCAATTGCAATCAAAACTGAATATTAAACCACAAGTATACAAATGGGTCCTCGACGTCCAGTACATTAGTTATTGTTCTGTTAACAACTTCTAGTGAAACTTCTGACGGGATTAGTCTATTCAAGAATTTCCTTGGGCTTTTCAAGCCTGAAAGTGCAAGTGAATTGAGCAATTTAGACAGAGATAACAAGGACTTTTTCCCATTTTATACATCTTTCACAAACTGATTCTGTTAGGTCCATCCTAATGCTCTTCAGAAAGTCTTGTAGTTTCTGAGAATGCACTGATTTGTAATTTTCTTTCATTATGTTTTTCTCTTAACAATAATGATAATGGTACTGAAGATAATAATGACTATGACTATGATGGGGAGGACGAGGACCACGACAGCGACAATGACAACAACGACAACAACGACAACAACAACAACAACAACATAATAATAATAATAATAATAATAATAATAATAATAATAATAATAATAATAATAATAATATAATGGTATAATTTACAAGATCAGGACAGACTGTTAGACTAGCTCTTCTGCCAAACCACAAACATAAAACTAAATATTACAACTGTGCTATCTAATACTTTATATTATTTAACAAACAACTTCTATCAATAATAAAACTTGTTCTCAGCCAGAGATGTGATTCTTTTAAAAAGTTAATGATGAATAAAAAACATTCAAAGATTTTTTTAGGATCGAAGATACGAGCACTTGGGATGAAAGACTCCATATTTTATCATGAATATCTATTACATAAATGAATACTAATTTTTGATAAAGTACATCAATTGTATTATAAGTTCAATTATAAATAAAGAACTAGTCATTAACTCAATAGCATATTCTTTGAAGTCTTTATGCTATACAGGTGTGTCGGGCCTCTAAAGCCCCATTTGTGTGCACTTATTTGGCCGATGCATGATACATCAACACGTTAAATAACATTAAAACATACCTCAACATTTTATTGAAAAAATTGAAATAAGGTACATTAAATTTAAGTTTTCCTTAATTAATCCTATTTCACTAAATTACAAAAATTAATGTTCTAAAATTTCTAGACTAAAATTACTATTAACAAGTAAATAATAGTTGGGGGAAAAAATTAATTTTTAAATATTCACCTTATATTCTTGTCACCAACACATTGCACTATTTTGGAAGCAATGTCCCACTGATCTGCATGAGGGTACGCGTAAAGACAATCAAAAGCAAGAGTAACAGCATCACTCCATTTAATGACAGAATCATTGAAATCTGAACGGAAGTGCTCAAAAAGCAGCAAAGGAAGGGAAAGATGATGAGATGCAATGTCTAAAAGACAGCCCCTTAGCAACTGCAGCTGACTGCCAGCAGTCTTTTTTTCGCATTGTACTAAGAAAGGGCGTAAAATATTCTGAACATCCCGAACAAATGTTGCTTCTGTAGACTGCAGCAAAAAATACAAACAAATATGAGGTTAGTAATAACAAAGTTAGTAATAACTAACACTCCCTTAGATGAGATTTTACAGATATACATACTTTACTAAGAAGAAGCTTTGCTTTTTCCAAATCAGTCATTTTCTGAAGTGCCTGAAGACTAATATCTTCCAAATGTACATCATATACAAGAGACTCTAGGGTTAATAGCTGTCCATATAATTCTTCCAGTCCCTGAAATTAAATGTTTTTATAATCACATTTCTTAAATTACTTGACAACTCAACAAAAATGTTTCCTTATCCACCCATATTGATTTTAAAGCTTCATTAAAGCACAAATGCTCTAAGAGATTTATTATAGCACTAATGTCATTATGACTTCATTATAACACTCCTTTTTCAAAGAAAAAAATATGAAACAAATGAGCAATAGTGCTGTTTTAACCAGAGATCTGTAAGACTTCATGGCAGTGACGGACAAAAGTCAACATTTTTTTGTGACTCAAATTTTTCAAAACTATTGCCATATATTGTTCACGTCACATTCAAAGGAGTATTCCCTTTATGAATAAATTTTCTCTTGCAAAGGGAGCAAAGGAAACCAGAAGAATGCAAGTAGCCCAGAAGAAGTTTATAAGAGCAGTTTTAGGAATAAAAAACAAAATTCAAAAACCTAAAGCAGAAAACTTTGCATCAGAAATAAACAAAATGATCAGAGGAAATGAAAAAAAATGTGAAAGAGAATAGATAAACAAGGACTACCAAGGGTGGCTTAAAATTAAAGAAGACAAAACAATGGCACCAGCACTCCAACACATGAAGGGATACTTCATTACCCTCTAATAGATCAGGAAAATCATTCTTTAACCAAGGGAGTTTATTGTGATTATTGATTATGATTTTGCAAGTGGGTAAAAGAGATCTTTTGTATGAAAGTTAGTTGATTAATTCCGAGCATGGTAGTACAAGTGGATAATTACAAACGACCACATAATGGTCTTTTAACCATGTGTAATAAACTTTTTATCTTATCCTACAGTCTTTTTTGAACACTTTGACATATTTTCAAACCCTAAGCATTTATGATTAGTGGTATTATATTGACATTGCTAATACCATTCATTACATTGGACACAACAAGCTGTTTGATCTACTGCAGGAAGCTTTACTACATTGGATATAATAACAAGCTATTTAGTCTACTCCCAACACAGAATATAACACAATATATAAAAAAAACAAAAAACAATTGGATCCAAGAAATATTATTTATTTCATGCTATTTTTTTATGTTTTTGATTATTTAAAAAATATTTAGGGGAGTGGGTCTGAGCTGAAATTGGCTCTCACTTTAAATACTCCCTATCTTTGCTCCTGATATTATCAAAGATATTCATATAAAAAAAGAAAACAAAAATGAAAGAAAAAAATGAACTTTACACTACAAAAGCACTAATTACTCATTTCATTTAAACTAACAATCTAACTTTTGCCATTGATAGCTATTAACCTTCCTAGTACCAAGCGGGGTCCTAGGTGACCGCAAAGGTATATTTTTGAATAGTTAAATGGCAAAAAGACGAGTACAAGAAGTGTCATTTTTGTTTAATTGCACAAATAATAACATTTATTTCAAAATTATAATTTTTCGCTCTGGGGTTTGCTTGGTATTCAGTGTGTCTGTTAATTTTTCAGTCAAAATTATCCTTTCTTATATTGACATCATTGTTAAAAATGAAATGTTAGTTATTCATCATGAAATGTTAATTATTAATTATGTAAATCATTATGAAGTACTATGTTTATCAGAAGAGGTCGTAGAAAATAATGGTGAATGAGATGGCATGTTGGCAACATCTGAAACTGAACTGGATAAAATGATCAACTAATATTCTATGAAAAGAATGTGGCCTTAAACTTTGTCTCACAATATAGTTGACATAGGGTGTTTGAATGCTTACATAACATGGAAGAGAAAACAATCAAAATCTCCCAGAAAATTTATATATGAAAGGTGAAAATTTCTGTTACACTTCAGAAAAGAATTAGTCTAGCCACACCCTAAACAATGATCACAGAATCCCACTGGCCCACCCAAAAGAACAATATATGTGAAAGGAAATCTCATCCTATAAGACATGGAAGAAGTGCACGCTGCTGCTAAACGACAGTCAAAGAGAAACCAATGTCCTATATTGTATCCTAGAAAGGCTCATTGAAAGTCAAATATATCGTGCAAAGTGTGCAAGTACGTGTTTTCAAGTCATCACAAAAATTTTACAAAATAGTTTGTCACACATGTAGTGAAAATATTAAGTGAATAAGAACAAAGAACTTGCCAAATAAATCATTACTGACTAACAATTGACTTGTGTTATCTCTTAAAAACATCATCCTTATCATTCATAATTCTTGGAACGCAGATCCCCTTGGTAATTGACGTAGATTAAATTACTCAGAATACTTTGTACTCGGAGGGTTAAATTACTAGCATGTCACTTAATTCTGAGGTAGTCAAATATACTACTTATGTACAATAAAAATATGGTTTGAATAAAATTAGTTCAAATGCTTTCCATTAAAATGCCATTAAACAAACACCTATTACTATTATTTTAAAATGCCACCATAGGCTGATGTTTTGAAAGAAAACATACAGTCAGATCTATCAAAAACAGTATTAATGAAAAATCACTTACAATAATATTCCTGGCTTGCGCGAGTTTCACTAAACTCAAGGCATGGTCTACCATACAACTGCGTTTCTCAATGCAGTGAGCGCGCCATTTGTACCATTCAGATAACAATTCCTGAGACAAAGATTCGTTATCACAACTAAATTGACCAAGTTCTGACTCTGGTTCCAGAAGAATTTTATCATCATCATTGGAATATACATCCCACACTTTCCTGCAACACATTAAAATGTATTATGATATCATTGCGCCTACGTAAAATTAATAATAAAATAGAAGGAATTAGGAAGAAAGCAGAAGAGGGAGGAGGGAGACAGAGGAAGGAGAAGGTAGGAAGAAGAACAGAGGAATAAAGGGAAGGAAGAAGGATCAAAACAAAAAGGAACGAGGAGGAAGAAGAAGCAAGTAAGCAAGGAATAACTCATAAAAACCTATGACTGATAACAAATTACACAATACAAATAAACATTTTCTGCTGCCATCTGTAAACATTGTTTCCATAATGACTATATTTTTATTATATTATTTTTTAAAATCTTCAATTATGATTTAATCATCTATGCCTGAAAAGTAAATAGTGCAAGACAAAATACTTAAAGAGACTTTTAATCCTTGTAAAATGTTATTTTCATTGCATGTGTGTACCACCTCTATTCACAGGGAACCATACCTAGACATTGGAGACTTTCTTCAGACAACATGAAGTCATGTGGTGATGGGAGGTTGTCATAGCAATGCACAAAGATGGTTACCTACTACTGTGCTCATGGATCCCCCATTCCTCCCTCCCTGTTTCAAATTTCCCTGGGTAGAAATGCTATCACGCCTAAGCCCAACGTTGAAGGGTTAAGATATATTTAATAGAAGTTGAAAATGTTTATTTGAAAACAGTTTAATAAAAATTTTTCTTTGAATGCTCACCGAAATGTATCCCTTTCACACCAATCCCGTGGTCGCAACTCTTGCTGCTTCCATGGGAATACACTTCCTTGAGAATCACATTCTGGTAGCAGGGCTTCATAATCACGAGGATTCAATGTCTCAGGAAAATTTGACAAGATAGGTAGCCAGTGACGTAACACAGCATTACCATGGTAAGTTAACAATATTTTTACAGCGTACCAGCGACCCTCTCGAGCGAACTCCACAGTAGAAGCAAGAACAGATTCTGATCGAAATCGATCATAAAATTCAAAATTATAAGATTTTCCCCCATTTGGTCCACTTTGTATTTTCTGCAAAAGTCAAATAAGATAAGACAAAGAAGTAGATTATTATTGAAAATCGTTATCAATGCAAACTATAGTAAACACTGATATTTTTAAAATCTCAAATGAAGAAAAGTCTATAATGATATTTTAAAATATTCACAAAGAAAATGCAGTTCTAACAGAGAAAAGCATGAGGTTGGCAAGATTGAAAAGTTAGTAGGAAAGTTTTCAACATTTTGGAGTTGCATTTATTTTCAAAAACTAGTTTCAATATACAGAATTGAAATGAATCACTATTATAATAGAACAGCCCGTAGCTTTTTGTCGTAATTCCCTCATCATCCTCACATAGCCAGGAGCCTCTCATGAAACACAAGATGATAATGACAGAAGAATCACTGGGGTATATATGCATTATTCATCACTAAAGGTAAAAAAAGCAATTTATTATTAATTAATTTATATTAACAACTTTCTGGAATTTCAAAAGTGGTGAATTTTACATTACATTCTCAGAGGAAGTGTAAGATTAAAAGTGTTAAGTGACCTCGTCATAAATCATGTCATTTCAAATAATACCTTGTAGGTATGCAGCATGTCTAAATACCATAATAACTTCCATCTATACAATATTAATTCTTGTTGGGCAGCAGTTAAGGATTCAGATTTGATCTAGAAAAAACAAACAAAAAAACAGCATACTCAGTGAAATATGATGAGAAGTTATATAAAAATGTAAAATCTAAGACAAACAACTTATCTGCAAGGATTATGATTACACATTTTACTCATTAACCCTACAGCACAAGAGCACTTTTCAACATGGGATTTTCTTTGCAGGACTATGCAGGATGCGTATTGTTCACTAGATTTTGTTACAGAAGTGCTATTTTTGAATGTACAGGACAAGATTTTGAACAATGGCATCAGCTGGTATTGTTTTTTATTCTGTATGAGCATTGTTGTACATTGTTGATATATAATGCAAGAATCATAACATGCATTCCTGGATTCCCCCACCCCCACCCACACAATGTTTCAACAATCACAAATTTACAGAAATATGTTAATTCAAGACAATCAAATGTGATTTTCAGGAGAGAATCATCTTCTCCACCACCCAGGGAATCAAATAAATTTTCTTTTAAAAGATGTGGAATTTTAGAGTTAGGAAAATCATTCTTGTAATGGAGTGCTTTTCTCATGCTGAGTAGAATGTTTTTATTTGTATATCAATTCGACTACATACAAATTCATCATTAAAATCAATACGCATTTGAAAGAATGGCTTGATTCACTTTTTAGAAAAATACACGAAGGCAGATTTCATTTTTTTTTTCTTCTTTTTTTAATTTGTCCAAGAAAGAGCAGCACAAAGCAGAGCCTACCAGGTACATCATTCGACATGCACAGATGGAAATAATCTGTATGCAGAGGACGATATTCCAAGTGTGAATCACAGGAACTAGAATTTCAACCATAAGTAATATTAGATAAGGAAGACAAAATAGTAGAAGACCACTATAAAAGCTTCTTCAGCTTTCATTTCAAAAATATTATTTTATTTTTATTCTTTAATTAGAAAATTTGATAGAAACAATTTTGTTGCTCTGAAATCACTCTTAAAAAGTATATCCTCATTCGACACTTTGAGACATACAGACATCAATGTAAGTCAGCATAAGCATATGTAAGAACAATTTAAACCATTTACAAAGAAAGAAATATAATATTATGAAATAAATGTAGGACAAGTAATATACTCGAGATATTTAGAGATAGTCAATACACTCTTTCTTTACAACAGAAAATAAATAGTCATACATCCAGGTAATGATACAAGTTTCATTTGAGGTTGTAGCAATGTTTCCTAGTATTCCCGAACCACTTATACTGAAAGCTTTGGATAAACGCTATAAAAAATGTTGTTCCTAGCAAAATGCTTGTTAAATAATGTACAAGGGTACAAATAATTCACTGGTACTCATAGGTAGTTTGATATGTTTATCATCTTACTTTAACCTTTGCAGGAAATTAAATTTCAACTAATTGATATGGGAAAAGTTATTCTTCTGGAAGAATGAATTATTTCTCTGTCTTTTCAATCCAAAAGAAGATTACCACTATTTATGGCATGGTTGATAGTGCTATTAAGCTTTCTGATCCTTCAAACCATTCATTCCATAAGATAAATTTAAATGTAGCTGGGGAAATTTTCAAAGAAAATAATTGGTTATCTAGGCTCTCCGGGACGAGTCAGGTCACTGACATGGTGACTAACATTTCGGCCAGCGTATTGTGGCCTTCTTTTGAGCATACTGCTGAAAATCATTTGATGATTTTCCAAATACAAAGAAAATAATTCTCCTTTAGAGTTCACTTATTAACTCATAAAGTAGTTGTGCTACAGATTGGTGCAGACTTTCTCAAATTAGTTATCTTTATAGTCTGGGCCAGATTTTCAATTTCAAATGCCCTCTTCCTAGTTGGAATCTATTAGTGCCTAAAAACCTTTTTTTTTTTCTTCACATTTTCTGAATTTTCAAGCCCCCTAATAGTAGAACTAAAATATAACTAGGAACATTATATAATAGTAAAACCTAGCCCTAAATGCAAATTTTTATTGAAATATTAGGAGTCATATTTAAGAATATGTTTTAGTGTTTCTGAAAATATGCAACTTTGAGCTTATTTTCCAGAAAATTTTAGTTTTTCAGAAACAGAAATAATATGAAGTTGTTCTTCTCACAAATGCAATAATGTACAAAAATGCCCACAATATTAATATTAATCACACGAGAGATATTTAAAAACATTATATTTGCGTAACGCATTTTATGTTTTATGTTTCATGTTAATGCATTTTATTGTATCTCATGTTGACATTTTGATCTTTTGAAATCAATTTGGAATTCACAGAAATTGTATTTTATCTCTGAGTGTAACTGTATTTTGTATTCAGATATAATTTTCATTCCTCATTCTTAAATTTTAGATTTGCTTTACATATTTTTATTTAAAATTTAATAATAAAAAAACATTTTATTTGTTTTATCTGCATGTTCATTTTGGTCTACCTGATTATGCGACCAATCATGAAACATTGTGTTTGAGATTTAGTTCAATTTAAGGAGGAATAAAATATTTTGTTGTAAAAAAAGTGTGTATTGATTGTTTCTAATTATCCCAAGGATAGCATCTTTCCTACATTTATATCATATAGACATTACCGTTTCATTTCACGTAACAATTATGATATACTTGATATTGTTATACACACAGTGCACTTTGAGTGATAAAGTAAAAAATACCTCAATTAATAGCAAATAAAAATGAAAAAAATGACAATTGGGGAAAATTTAATTCACAAGAAATATTATTAAATTAATGCCTTAATGCAAAACACCACAATGCAAGGGTAACATCTTTGTATTTCTTTTCCTTCCACTATCTCTAGACGGTGTAAACAAATTGAAATGTTCATTATTTTGAAGTAATGCACAATTTTTGACGTTCAATGTAAGACATGGATGTATCACAGACGTACGAACAAGTATCTACATATTTCCAGAAAAAACAAAATATTGTAGATCAAGCAGTCTTTTTGTATTAATTTATATTTGTGCACATTTTTCATAATGCATGAGCATTATGCCTTGGTTAACCTAAACATATCAGAACAGTATTTCACAAATATCTATGTTATTGAATAAAGATATCTTGTATTCTTCAAAACCCTTTTTTGCAAAATGACTTCTGAATTCTAGCAGTATTGAATTTAATGAGTGATACAACCATGAAAGTTGTTTGTGAAAAGAAAATGTGGAGAAAACCTTGAATAAACTTCACACCTTAGCCAGTAATTTTTCTTCTCTCTGAGTACGATACTGCGCTGATGATTCTTCATCAATAGATCCAGATGTCTCATTTTCAATTGGAGACAATACAATGAAGTTTCCACCATCTGTGCCTTTAGCAAAAAAATAAATTTTCAAGATTAAATCTCAATTATCACAAAAATCCTAAGAAATAAAAGTACAGAAATAAATGCACACACAATTTGATTAAATAATAAAATGAAATGTAGCAGTGCTCACAAATAAATGTTAATAGTGCAATATGTTTCTTTAACTTTTTTCTGTGTTTGTTGATTCCCTTTCCCATTTTATTTGAATCTTTTGCCTATGCAGCTTCTGACTTCAAAAGTTGGTGGTTCACAAAGTTTAGCTAGCACAAAACAAAAATGTGGCGGGGGGGTCTAAAATCCATTAACAAAGACATCTGTTCATAAGTCCCTTGCGATTTTTCTTGAAAAAAGCCAAGAACTGTCACACAAGTTACAAGAAATAGTGGTACTCACTGTGTCACAAAGAACATAAAACATTAGTTTTATCTAAAATTTTGTATGATGCTCATATAACAATTGAAATTTGGTCATTTACTGTTTCGATGCATACTGACACTAAAATGTTTGAATAATTTAATAAATGTGTCTTTATAACGTACTAATGTGTAGGCAATCCCCAACTCACAGCTTCCCCTTCAGTATCAAGTTTGCTTAGCCCTATTTGCTTTAACATACAATGTAGGCTTCCACGGCCGGTTTTGTACATCATAATTAGTTATTTTGGGGTTTTTGATGCTTTCTTCATCTTAAATCTTTTGCTGTTTTTAATGTTTATTACATTAGAGTTGAGTTCGACCACATACACTAGTTTACAAAATATTTTTAAATAAAAATACTGAATCACATTATAATTAACTTTAAAGTTTTGTTTTCCTGTCCTTCATTTGAGGCAGAGGAGGTCTGAAGCACTTGAGGTGTCAATATATCATAAGGCGGTATTAAATTAACTTAATATTACAAATCATATAACATAATTTAATTAGTTTATTTGTATTAGAGTTAGTTATTTAGCGACTGTGTATGATGTACTATGACTAACCCATAAACAAGTTGAAATCTGAATACAGATGGACAAGTGTTTTGGCCTAGAATTGATAAGAAAATATTCACTGCGCATACATGACAAACACACACAGCACACACAGTTTTGACCACACTGTGTTGCTCCCTTCTGTACAATTTGCTGTGAACACTACTACGTCAAATTTATTCCTCTTTGTTTCATTTGTAAAAGTAAGTAATGATTGCAGCCCTGTCTATCAAAATGAATGCAGATGTGCATCAGAGGTACTTTGTTTAAATTGGATGTTTTCAAATATTAGCTGAGGTGTTAGTAGCACAGAAATTACAATATTTCAATATTACGTAGCAGTTTAAAATTACACGAGAAACAATTTATTGTAGTACCACTAGTTTCCTTTAAATTTGGAGTCAAATAGAAAAATCTTTGCTAAATAATAGGTTCCACTTTCATTAAATCTTTAGAATTTAGAAAATTGCAAAACTTCAATTTTCTTTTCAAGTCTATCTTACACCTTGATAATGAAAATGGAGATTTCACTCTTACAACAATCTATTCCTCAATTTTAGCTCTTTAAATAATTTCCTGTAAATTTTTTAAACATATTAGTAGTTTTTGCTTGATTTTGCATTTTTTGAGCTGAAATATGCCATTGGACAGAAACTCCAATAGTATGTCGTTACAAAACCTCCATCAATAATATGAGAACATATGAAATGTTGTAGCACTTCCATTTTGAACTTCATAAACATCAGAGCATTTAGTAAATATAATAATAACTATAAAGTAAATACAAGTAAGTTAGTAACCTTGCGTATTCATGCCTAATAAACACACAAAAACACAAACACAAAAATAATTCAAACATTTATTTCAACTAAATGTATTTACACACCTTCCCCAATTGCGACAAGAGTCTCCAAATTCGTCCCCAATAAACCAAATTCAAGCAACTCCTGAGCAGCTTCAAAATTTTCAGGTACTCTTTGAACACATTCTTTGAGAACCCATGAACGTTTAGTAATTTTGCTCTAGAAAAAAAGAATGTGTTAGCCTAATATGTTCCAATCCACTGCAATGCACCATTTACATATTGTCATAAAAAAAAGGAACACATAATACTATGAGTACAAAATAATGCACAATAAAAAGTCAAGTAGATATGAAGTCCTTCTTGATCACAAGAATTACTTTTGATAATATAAGATTAAGATCAACAACATATTGCAGAATAATTACACCTTCTATTAGAGTAACTGCTTCTGAATCCTAAGAAATGACAATCAATGTCTGTTTACAAATCTAAATATATTCTGCACTACTGTAAAACATGACACAAACTTGGTATTATCTGACCGTTTCAGCTAAAAATATATAATCATTTTGTTTCCTAAAATTAAATGATCCATTTCAATGGGAATGGGAATGGGAATTTCCCCACAAAATACAAATGAAATTAAGGCCACTAGTATTACCATGATAGTTATAAGTGTGCAGGCATTTATGAAAAATTTAATAATAACAATAATAAATTATCAAACTGAGAACTTAAATCATCTTGCTCAGGTACTTTGTTTACAAATTTAAAGCAAACTGTATACAATTAAAATTCATTAAGGTGAATTAACAACAAAGTAACTCCAAAACTAGGACAACTTAACTTACCAAGTAATCACGAATCGTATGAATTGATACTTTACTGTTCCGCCACTGTCGCTGATAAACTAAATCACAATCTAAATTATAAGTGCGGGCAAGATCTAAAGCATCTCCATATTCCTCGTTGTCAATCTGAAAATAAATATACAATTTCAGTACAATCAGAAGACAAAAATTCAAATAAAATGTTCAGCTTACTTACAACATATGTTTTCTATGGAGCAGTATCACCCTGATTGTATTATTTCAAGTCTGTTTGATATTTAATCTAATCTTCATGAGAGAGCAAAAAAAGAAAGAAAAAAAAGGATACCTCTCAAGAAAAGCAATTACAGTAATTAAAAGGTTATTGCTTCATGTTGACTACCTTCTGTAGATCATTGCTATCTTCAAAGCAATATTGACAAAAAAGTTCAACTAACAATTTATAATCACATTTTTGAAATTTTATTTCATGTCTTTTCAGAATTGATACTGACATAGTTAGAACATTTTATGGATTTTTTTAACTGTCTGTTGTGAAAAGGTATTATTAATACAATATTTAGATTTATAATGTAATTTCGCAACCTCTCCTAGCAGCTCTGAGCTTTCAAATCGACATCATAGATTTTTCTTCTTTTTTATCAACAAAAACCGAAAAAATCTCTCAATGTCAATTACATTCAAGCATGTCCATTTTGTTTGACTTGCCAAAGATATCAAATCCTTACACAAGCCAGCATCTAAACATGTGATGAACATCATGCACTTTCTCTCAAAAGTCTGGAAACATACCCTATGACTAGTCCACAGATAATAAGTGAAAATAAAAGTAAGTTTTCATAATAGATGAGTGTTGCCACCAATAAGATTCAACACAAAGTTATTTGTCTAGTTGTCCAATGGTACCTGTCTTAAAATCAGAATGAATGGAAATCGGCTTTTAAAAATTCACAATATTTCACCCAAATATCAGTTTATTCTCCATATTTTATTTTTTAAGGATCTGAAATCTGATTCTGAAGAGTTACAACAAAACTGATTTTTCATTATAAATACAAAATATTATTTTAGTATATAATATTTACAATGAATATATTTATTTCACTTTTCTCATTCTTTTGAAATACTCAATAATCACTATTTTAATGACCTTAATACATTTTTATTTTAAGGATAACAAGTGCATATATTTGATCCTATTAAAACTAAAATACACATTACAATTATGATATGATCAAGAAAGGAATAAGGTACTAAAGTAAGTTCATAAGTAGGAAGATCACCTAGGAAGGATCTTTTTAAAAGAACGTTTTCGAACAATACAGGCACACATTAAAAGTTGAATCAATATTGATCACATACACAATTATTACTTCTAGAATTTCTACATAGAACCAACCTTTCTTGCATATAACTCTTCAGGAGTTGTACTTTTTAAACCAAGTAGTCGGTATGTCTTATGTAAAAGTTTAGGTCTTTTGCGCTTTGGTTGAAAACGCTCCATATCTGTCACAAGGTACACAGCACTCTGCAAAAGAGCTGAGCTCCGGTTCAAGAATGATACTTCATCTTCATCATCACTGCTTTCCTGAAAAATTTTGAAATAAATTGTAATTATGATTGGTTGAATAATTTTGAGGTGGTATTTGCACAAATTCCAGTTTTCCATCTCAAAAAAGAAACTGTATGACCATTATTCAGTAATTAACATTACCTCACAAAAAAAACATAACAAGTACTCGATAGAGAAGGGTTTTGAATGTGTTAAAATAGAAACAAAATTGTTTAACACTACACATGTATAAAATAATTATTTTCTAGGTAATGCAAAAAATTACATTGAAATACAGAGAAAGGAACCTTGTCATATAAATAGCTCTTGAAACAAATAAATCTTCTTAAGCTTAATTTGTATATTGGTGAATAAACACACTTTTTAACTTTCAACAAGGATTATAATGGATATTTTTTCATCAATGCTTACAGTTTCAGATGGTCTGCTCAGAAGGTCATCATTGGATCTTTTGAAACTTGATATTTGAGTTTCACATTCAAGCCCCAGGAAACCTCTTTCACTACACATTGCAGAAACTTGCGGTTGTCCAGCAAGGAATTCTGGGGATTCTCCAAGAAGGTTACGAAGATTTGATACTGAACAAACACTCACAGCTCCAGATAAGCGAGCCACTATGACAGCCTGCAAGGAGTAAACCAAATTTTATTTAATTTTGGAGAATTGTTATGAGCAATACAAGTGTCAATTATATCAAGCAATTATACATATATTCTATCGGAAAACAACAATTTTTTTCTCTAAGCCCATTGATATAATTGCACCTAGGTACATCCACCAGTTCTCTTAACTAAGTCATCTAAAAATCACTATGAAAAAACAAACTAATATTTTACCTGTTCAGACCACCAATTAATGTCAACAGGATAACAGTCAGCATATAATTCTCCTTGGCGTGTTTTGGAGCGACTAGCAAATCCAGGAAACTGTGGATTACGAATGTCATACCCTGGTTGTTGAGCAAGTTCCCACATGCTGTACATCCTGGATTTAACAAGACAGATAATTACTCAAGATATATTTTTTGTTCCAATTCATGGTTTATTCTTAAAGAGAAACTTACTCCATGGATGGTAGACGCCAAAGAGAAATACTGCCACATGTATGCAAACACGCAACTAATTTGCCTTCAGGTGACACTTGCATTTTGAAGACAGTACTCTAAAAATAAATGTAAAAAATATCTTTAAGTAAAGATTTAAAAAAATACACTGTACTTATTTCTTTTTAATTATCGTCATTCCAAAAATTAAATCCAAATATTATTTTTAAAGCTACATGAACAAGTCAAAATATTTAAAAAAGTACAAATCTGTATTATGAATTATTTCATTAAATTACCAGTACGAATATAGCTCTCAATTAATTTTACTTTATTATCTCTAAATTCACTAAAAGAGTACAATTTTCTAAAAAATAAATGTAAAGAATCTCAAAGCTAGGATAAATAAATTCCTCTAATGAATTACTTTTAAGTTCACCCCAATTAAAACAAATCCAAGGAACTAACCTTCTTAGACTGAGTTTTTAGCAGAGGAACCCAATTCCAAAGGCTTCTTTGGGACTGTAACAGTACTTCTTCTTCTCTTGAACTCATTGCGAGTTTGTAGAAAGGATAGTCATTCAAAATTCTCCAAGCTGAGAGACCAGCACTGCTTCCTAGATGCTGAACCAAATATTGAACATATCTAAATTATTTCACAGGTGAAATACATAAACAACACTCCTGGGAATGGGAAATGTAGGTGGGAGTGCATTACATAACCTTTGATTGATATTTCCCATTACCCTTTCTGGTTGTGAATTTATAATGGTTAATAACAATTCTGCTCTATACAGAATGTTTAAAAAAAGCTATCCTTATAATGGTAAAGTAATACAAGTTAAATAAATACTATTTGTGAAACTAGAAAAGAATGAAAAACAATTTAAATTGGAAAACATGAAAGCGGTGACTTTGAATTCAAAATTTATAACATACAATTAACAACTTACAATTGTTTAAGAAAAATTGATTAACAGAGAAATTTTGAAACAATGAACAAAATATTACATATAGAATAGTACATAACAACAAATAAGTACTTCATTGAAATACCACAGCTAATTTTTAAAACAAAATGACAAATAAATTTTGTTCTGAGTCACTATTTGTATACTTTTCGAGATTACTACCATTCTTGTTCACAAATTCCAATTATATTAAAGATGAGTTAACATCCTCTTTCATCCTCCATCTCTCACAGCACTTTCACCATCATATTTTAAATTATTTCATAAAGGTTTAATAATATAATGTTTTAATTAATTTATTAATTTATTCATTAAACAATGGTTTGTAACAATACCTCTGGAGCTTTGCTTTCAAAACGTCCAGTTGAGCCAGCTACAAACAAAAGATTGTGAGATGGATGAGAGCTCACAGCAAAAACTCCATTTCGATAATGTGTAGCAAATGAGAAAGTATGATTTTCCTGAAAGCCTTCATTAGGAGAAACAAAGTAGCTAGTAAGATGACCATGATAGTCAACTACTATCAATTCACAAGACCTGCAAAAAAAATGCAAGAAGTTGAACATCAACATAATATTAGTAGTAAGGAAAATCAAAACATTATATTACCATTTTGGACTTTTGATTCTTGGTCGATGAAAAATTATTGAAGCAACAGGATTTTGAACATCAGATGATTTTGTTTCTGCAACTTTTGACTGTAATACACAAAGCAGTTGTTTTAAAAAGTTTGCACTTCCACATGAACTTAAAAAATTTGCTTAAAATTAAACTTTGTCAAACTCACTGGAAATATTGTGAAAATATTGCTTCCCAGAAGGTCATAGAATGATATAACACCATTACTATGAGCAATAGCTAACATACTACAATCTGAACTCCATGCCAATTTTCTCCATTGAGGAAATGGATCCCTTGAAACTGCAGAAAAAAAATAATTTGCTTCTTGACACTCCTTAAAATTTTTATTGATACTTATATTACTAGTGTGCACATTGGTAGACTTCTCATCTCTACGATAAAATTGAATAAGGTTAATTATCCACTTGGTCACTATTTTCAAGGAAAAAAGATAAGTTAACTAGACACTTAGTTTTCCATACTGGTAAATTTTCAGGACTGGTAAAGCACTTGGTATACAAACAAAATCAAAATAAATAACACACCATAAAATCCTACATTTATAATCAAACTGTACAAAAAAATAAACTCAATTGATAAAATAAACCAACCCTTCTGGATATACAACCATCTTAACTGATGCATTTGTATGATTATTTGGGCTATTGATCATTACATTTATTAATATCAGTAATATAAACTTGTGAATAGTATTACAGAAATAATTCTTAAGTGACCATGTCTTTCTGAACAGTTCCTTCTGTTTTTGGAACAAAATGTTTGCTGAACAAAATTTTTCCTTTAACAGAATTAAAAATAACGATTATCTTTGTAGACACTCACTGACTGCTTTTCCAACAACAGATGAATATTCATCACGAGCAATTCTAATTTCCAATAAAGTATCTTGCAACACAGCAACAACTTTCCCATTATCACCAACTGCAAATTGCCACGGCATTTGTCGAAGCTGCAATCTTAAAAAACAAATTCTTTGTGATAATTTAAGCATGGCTCAAATAAGTTAAGAATTGATCATAAACATAATTTGCATTTAAAATTGTATTTACATTATTTATTACATTCGTTTTAACATGAAGAGAAGCATAATACCTGAGAGCTTCGTCAAGGGTGGTATCTCTCTTAACAAAGTATTGGAGAGCATTGGAAACTGATGAAGTGGGAGTAGTGAATCTAATTGCTTCGTTATTTCTCTGCAATTTCTGAAATGAAATTATTAGCTTACAAACAGGGTAAGAGTTGACATATATGCACTGCCCTACATTCTCACACAGGTGTTAAAGGTACAACAAAATCATGACACCAAGACTTAGTTTTTTTGGGTAATTCAACATCTTCAATAATGTTTACAAATCAATCTAAATTTTGTACCACACAAGTTTCAACATATCTTTCATAAGTTTCGACATAACCTGTACTAACCGAAAACTCTGGATCAGTCTTCCATTCCGAATAAACCAACAATTCGTAAAGAATACATTCATCGGGTGCATTTGCTGAATTTTTATTTCCTGTACTTTGCTTCATTTTGATATTTAAAAGAGAGTACTTTATATTTTCGATAAGTAGACGCAGCTGTCAAACTGAGTCCACTTAGCCGCCAGCTCTACGCACTTAACGCCAGCTGGCTGTCAGCCTGATATCAGCTGTGGTCATACTGTTGTGCGCTGTTGTGCTGTTGTCAGCTGCCATACGTTCCCCTCCTCTGGCGTTCCACGATACTGCTTTAAAATGTATGGCAAATTGACAGAATTGACAGCGATCAGTTGGGACAACATTATCCAATTGAGAGCATTATTACAACTTTTATGTTTGATATTCAATCATTCGATTGGGTAATAGCCTCCCAGCTTTCAAAAGTCTACTCGCCCTAAATTCAAATAAAAGTGTAAGCAATCTGTGATCCAGGGAGAATTAGTTTCATCGGATGATCGGACGCAAACTACAAACATATATCAAGGATGATCGCAAGAGGCCACAAACATTCATCAACCTATATTTTTATTCATGGTCACAAAGATTTGTCCAAAGAAGCCAGTGAATTCGCGCGGCGGCCATATTGGTACAACACACTTCAGCTTTACCGCGAACTGTTTAAGTGTGCGACCAAGTGCTGAATTTTATTTCTACACGTTTATAATCATTTTCACGTCGAGATGGCACAATGGACTATTATGGACATTGTTATTCTTATGGAAGAATCTCGTACATTGTTGCCATATCGATTGTTGCAAAAGTAAGTAGAAAAAATATGGTCCCGTAGAGAAAAGTATTAGATACGAGTACACGATGGTAATCATGAAAAATGTGTAATTCAGGAACTTTTTAGTTTAAAAATTGAAAACGCCGGATTTCTGCGGAACTGACTTTTTAAACGCCTAGTTATTCAAATCGTTGAAACGTATCTAAAATTTTGAGACATTATTTTGGAAAAAATTGATACAGTATTTCAGTTAGCATCGCAGGTGGCAGGGCTTTCATTTTATTAGTACATTAAAATGTGTCCCTTTAAAAGAAATTAATTGTCAACGAAAATATACGTTTTTGATTTGGGCGTTAGCGTATTTCGCCACTGGGATATATACGTTTTTGACGTTCAATTAAATACTTCCAGCGACAAAGTTATGGAAAAAATTATGAAAATTTTCGAAGGCATTACTAATGTGTATTTAGAGTTTGTTTTGAAGTCGAGCTGCGCGAGACGTGAGGCGATGACTTGACGCTCGACGGAAGGCGCGACGAAAAGACGAGACACAGTGGTGGGATGTAAGACCTATGGGGCTGAAAGTAAGTATTTGTTTTAATGGCGTTTCAGCGGAAAGGACTATCCTAATCAATTCTCGAATGATCACGAGAAGCCCTTTCAGGAAATTCGCCTTGCAGGGTATTCTGGTCAGTTGATTTTAGCAGGTGGATGTGAGTGCAGATGGTGAATGTGCATTGGTAAAGAAATGTAGGTACTACGTAATTTAGCCGGTTTTGTAAAGGTAAGGGATCGGAATGGAACCCACTGAATGGGGTAAAATAATTAGAGTTTGTGAAAAACATACAAGTATTCGAGAACCTTAAAGGAAAACGGCGTCAATCGTGTGAATGAAGTTTGCAGAGCAACAGGCATCAGCAGACTTTCATTCTTGAGAAGAAAAAAGGAAAACGAGAATGGAGAAAAAAACAGAAGAACTAAGAAAAATACAGATAGCAGTACGAGTCAAATTCTGCGAGAGTCTAAAAATGTTCCTGCAACAGTCGTGTGTCTAATGAAAGGTGATAAACGTTTATCAAATTTCAAATATTCTGCATATTTCACTTACTGATTGAAGTAGGATTTTAATTTCAAAAGCGAGGGAAAAGGCTCCAATGATCGAAAGCAATTATTTACAAATAAAAAAGGAACATAGTGAACTCTGATGGAAATTGGATAAACATTGGTTATAGTGGGATTGTTTAATTATATTAATATAATTAAATAAATTAATTAATCAATATTTGAGGGCACAATCAACAATTATATTTTTCATATTATACGAGATACATGTAAAGAGTCTCTGTTAATTAGATACTTGCGCTAATAAAAAATACGACAGTAATTATAACAAAATAATAATAATAATGAAGTATGCGAATAAACAATTTTTCAGTAGACACATGTATTGAGAAAGGTAGCCGTGATTTTGACGATTATCGAGCGAGCGGAGAAGCGAACGAGTTGTATTGGCAACAAAACGCGGATTATCCATAAGACACATAGTTATTCACAACGTGAAAAGCGGTATAGAAGAGCTTGTCGTATGGTAAAGTAGTTGTCTATTGATATGGGCTGGTGTATTTTAAGTGTAATTGACCATGCTCACTTGTGTTGCATTTGGTTGCGCGAAAAAATTGGTAAAAAAAAAGTGCAGGGTATAACATTCCAAATGTGTTGAAAAGGATTTGTTTTGCTAATTATTTTAAAATGTACAATTTGTATGAGAGTAATGTATTTTCTTTCCAAAAGATCCGTAAGTACGCAGGAAATGGACTACAGCTCTGAGAAGGGAGAACCAGAGAATATATATACCAGAGAGAGTATAGGGGAGAACCGTAAACCCAATATTTTGTCCTATCCAACATAACAATTTATTAGAACTAAAAGCTGCAAACACAAGCTGCCAGAGGGCTCCAATAATGACTGCGTGCACGAAAGCGAACGAACGTCACGACAATGAGCAAGCGCAATGCGCACAAAATGAATTTGGCAGTTAATCGTTAGAATGCGTTTATGACCTGAAAAATATTATGTTCCACTTGAGTTACACTATCCACTAAAGTGTTAAAGTAATGTTTTGTCACCTTTCCAAAAGATTCGTAAATACTCAGAAAATGGGTTGCAGCTGTGAGAAGGGAGAACTGGACCCCAAATGTATTGTTCTAGTGCCAAAAGTTCAACAGAAGAGGCCCTCGGATCGACACAATACGGGGGACCCCTAATTAAAGACATCATTAATTTTGTGATTACAAATTAGTAGCTAGAGTACAATTCTTGTTACAGGTTCTTTAGAATCATTTGTAAAATCCAAATAGTATATAATACATTAAATGTCATTGTTAAAATTAATGTTACTTTTCTTTTGGATGGTCGGTATAGTCTCTAATTGTATAGAAACAGTTGTGCAGCAGAAAAGAAGCTTTTACTTGGGGCTTAAACTTTTGTATCGAATTTAATCGTTTAATGTCATCTGGCAAGGTGTTGTAAAATAATGTACATGTATTATATGTTAATTTTGTGTAGTGAGCTGTTAATACTGTCACCTTATGAATATGATTAATACGTCGAGTATTGTAGTTATAGACAACGGCGTTTGCTGAAAAAATATTCCCGCCCTTAAGTAAGTCATTTTTCACAAAAAATACTGATTCATATATCAAGAGACAAGGTAATGGTAAGATACCTAGATTAATATATGCTTACAAGAATTTCGTGCGTGGGATTTGCTTATTATTCGTACAATTTTTTTTTATAATATAAAAGTCTGGGAGCTATAATATTAATGTCTCCAGAATATTACGCCATACTTCAGGTAGGAATGAACATTCGCGAAATACACAACGAGCATTGTGGAGGCTGACTGAACTTGAAAGAATTCTGAAAGCGTAGCAGAAAGAACTTAATTTAGAGTTCAATTCATTAAAATGGACATTCCATTTAAAATTTGACTGAATTGAAAGACCTAAAAATGTTGATACCTTAACATCAGTCAATGGCACACCGTTCATTTTCAGTGAAGGGTGAAGATTTTTTTGAAATGGAAAACTGCATAGAAGCAGTTTTTTCATTTACTATTAATTTATTATTACGGAACCAATTTGAAATATCTGATATTGTACTATTTACGGTTTCTTTATTGCAAAGAATATTCGTATCATCCGCAAAGAGAACTGTTCTTCCGTTTCCAGTCGTCGAGGGTGTATTATTTACGTATAGTAGAAAGGGTATAGGGCCTAAAAAATCGATCATTGCCGGACTCCACATGCAATTGGCAAAGAATCAGAAAGGTGTGTACATAATGTTCCATTATTCCAGTAAGGTATTTCTACTGAGATCTTTGTTTATGGTACGAACATAACCAATCTAGAGCAACACCACGAATTCCATACGAAGGTAATTTTGAGAGTAAAATGTTATGATCAACGACATCAAAAGCTTTTGAAAGATCTAAAAATAGATAGCCCCTAATCAACTTTGTTACACAGTTTTTTTACACTCATATTTGCTTATAAAATATTGCAGTTTAATTTGATCCATTTTCACACCTAACATTTCAAGTCAATTGTTTGAAGTTTTCCTTTCATATGATTTTGTGTGTTACAGACACTTCTTTTTGTAATTGTTATTACTTTGTTACTGGCGTGGCCACATGAATAAGAAAGATAATAATATTAAAGCATAACTTTTTACAACTTTATTTACAGGGAATGGTGAACTTTGTCACGTGGAAAGCGCACTTGACCTTTCTTTCACTTGCAGTAAATCTTATTTAAAGGTTGTGCACACATTTGTAGCTACAAAATTTTTGTGGAAGCAATTTTTTTTAAAGTATGGAAACGTGATTTTTCGTTTGGCACACCAGTCAAGCCTGGGCAACCCTTGGCCCGGATGCGTCAGCGCCGTGTGAAACAAGGGCCGACACGCGTCGCCTCGGAGCGACTCGGCTGGCCGCCGTGGGTTGGGGGGTCGGGGTCCCCCTTCACTTTGCGGACGACTGAAATGCGATCGTCAAGAAAGCGCGAAATATCCAATGGACAAGCGATTGGGAGACCCTTCTTAGGAACGGCGCCTGTGTGTATGTTACAAACTTCAGCGCTATGTTTTGGGGTGTTTTACCGGTTTTAAATAATCAAATCGAATTGGATCCAGAGACATTACGAAAATTTCTTCCGACAATGTGAATCTCTTTATCGCAAAATTACAGAGAAGATAACACAGTTACAAAATGAAATTTTGTGGAAGACTTTTTGTTTTGATGGGTGATTTTAATCTATTTTTGCGATTTCATGTTATTCCTCTTCTGAGATCAGTAATAGTCCGCTATCATAACAGCATTCCACATACCCTCGTAACGTCTTTCTACGTCCTTCATGTCTTGTTCAAGTTCTTCACTAAAATCTTCCAAGTTGTCTGCAAAAAAGGCGATATGGCTATGAAGAAAATGTAGCTTGACACTCATATTGCAACCTTAACTTTTCTTAGCCTGCAGCATATCTTCCACAATATTCTGGAAATTTGGGTCTTTCCTGTTTTCCAAAAATCCATTTATTACACTCATAAACCCTGACCAAGCGAGTTTTTCCTCATAAATCATAACATTCCTGAAGCCTGCGTCAGTCATTAGATTCCTAATCTGGGGACCCACAGATTCCTTTTTTTAGTTTAGCGTCAGATAGAAAGGAAAATGTGTGACTGAAATACTTGAAACAGTCTTCATCTTTATTCAGTCCCTTAACGAACTATTGTATTATCCCGAGTTTAATATGGAGAGGCGCCAGAATGATCTTACCCCGCTTTACCAAACTTACTCTTATTACATTTCTGTCTCCTGGATCCATTGCTCTGGCAGGCCAGAGCAGCCACCCAGTGTAGACGACATGCACGGCTATCCCACAGGCACAGAAAGCAGGGAAATTTTGTGAAGCCTGACTGTTGTCCAAGAAGCAGTTCTGTAACTTTTAGATCACCACATACAATCCATTTGTGCTCTGAATAGTTTGTCATTAATACCATTGCAACGATTTCGTAGCTTTCCTTCAAGAGGTGCGAATATGCTACTGATATTGAACCATGCCTATTGGAAATATGTAGATAAACAGCCTTCAGATTGCTTTTGGTTGCGTCAATAAATATCCTCCATTCGTTCAAATTGTCTCCATATTTTGATATTACTTCTTGAATGTAACTTTCAGTAAACAAAAATGCCATCTTGAGTAAAATAGTTCCGAAACTCTTCTTCCCTTGTTCGATACCATGGGAATGTTGTACCAGGAGCTAGGGTTCTTTTCTCCTTCAAACGAGAATCCAAAATTTGTGATAATTCCTTAGAGAGACCCAGATCTCTTACTTAGTCATTTAGTTCACCTTGTGTAAATAACTGGGTTTGTTCATCTGTGGAGTACGTTATTTCATCTAAGTTTTCAGGGTAAGATGGTGAGGATGGCGACGACTGTAGAGTAACAGGTGGCTTGGGTTCAGGAACGCTGGGTCCGTGTGGTGCAGGCCTAATGGCCTAATTTCAAGTTTGGGTAAATAATGCTTAAAATGTTTTTCTTGTTATGCCCCTCAACTTTCATCACACAAAAAAGCAGTGATCTACGTGATTTGTTTGCTCTCGCCACATCATCGGAATTCCAAAAGATATACACCCTTGCTTCCCTTCGGACCATTTTCTTAAACCATTACGACACGCATGACACACACCATGGGGTGCAAATCCTTTGTCTTGACCTCCACCTTGTCACCAATATAAGCTAGGAAAGCTCTATTTACGAATGAGGTTATTTATGTCTTCTAGTTTTTAAAGTCAGTGTTCCACAAACGTAAAACCTAATAGGATCATTTACAAACAATCGTCTTGACGAGCTAGCCATTTTTAACTGACTTGCTAAATAACTTAGTTGCACTTACTAAATAACTTAAGCACACTTACGAAAGTGACCAAAACAGCTACATCAAAACCAAGATCAAAATCGATTTTCTTCCAAGTAACCGTTTTCGATTGCTCCATACCTTACATTGACCGCTATTTCGCGCAAAATAAAGAAAAAAAGGAAAATACGTGTTTACGGAAAATCTGTGGGTGTTACAGGAATTCTGATTCCGTATTCGCAAACAGGCTTAAGAAATCATTCGAAAACACCCACTTTCATGCAAAGCCCCAAAATGGGTACTCTGAGTAATCGTTTCACGGCGAACAGATTTTCACGTATGTCAAAGGAATAGCATCTTAAAATAACAATCATTCAGCCATTACCAATTTTTATCCCCAAGATTTAGTAGCTTCATTAGATATGCATGGTACACTGCTCAGTATATCGATGAAAGTCTTGCATCCTTTGTGGCACCTGCACAATACTGTTGGTATGTCACATAAAGTCATATGAATTTAATTTATGCGAATCTTCTTTTATTATGTTTGAGGTGCAAGAAAAATATGTTTCAATTACTGCATTATTCAGTGACATTTTTGTAAAACATACATGGAAGTGTAAATTTTGAAATGAATGTAATGTGGACATTATTGCCGTATTCATTCGCAAAACACAATTCAAGCCATCCGCAAACTTTCGGCCTGAGGCGACGAAAGCACTCGTTTCCTGCCTCTGGAGCAATTCATGATGCGGCTGGGCAGAAGCGCTGCAATTATGCAATACAGACAGGCGAGAGGTCAACGATGAGACGTTCCGTGTCTCAGGGATTCATTCACCTATTTGGAGAGGAAAAACATGGAAATTTTGAGCATTTCAGAAAATGCGCATTTTCAAGCTAATTTTCACCAAAAAAGTATGCGTTTTTGAGAAACTTCAATGGAAATCATTTGAAGCAATTATGCTCACAAATGCAATAATGTGCACAAATCGCTGATAAACTGAAGATTAACGGCGTGAAATGTTTCGAAAAATTAACTTCCATAATTTTTGACAAAAACACACACACATCCAAGTGTCATTAATGTCATGTTATTCAGTCCGTTCAGCACTATCAGTTCAAAACAGCTAATGAAAAAAATTGGAGACATTTTCGACAAAATGGCGTCTCAGTGTTTCTGAATATGAAAAAGTTCGTACTCATTTTCACAGAAAACTTTAGGGTTTTCGAGAAATTTGTAAGTCATCATTTGGAGCACATGGGCTCATAAATGCAATAATGCATTCCGATCGCCGCTAATACAATTAACGACGTGAGAAAGTAAAAGTAATATTTTTTTGGTATTTTTTGAAAACGCGAAAGCATTTGAAATGCTGTTTATATTATCTGTTGGAGAACATTTACTACTATCCCCTTCCTAAGGTTTAAGGGGGGGGAAATGAAGTCGTTCTTGAGAAATTTTTTTTTTTTTTCGCACTTATTTCGCGAAAACTACTAAAATGTTCCATCAAATGCTCATGACTATGAAAGAACTAATTATCTGAATTTGTTAATATTTACAGTAGCACCGATTTGTTTACATGATTGCATTCATGTTTTCATGTGCTTTAAATTATGTTTTATAAAGTTCCTCGGAAACTCATAACTTTTCTGTGAAAATAGGTTCCAAGATCTGCATTATGAAACGTTCAAACACAATTTTCTCAAAAACGGCTCAAAATTTTTCTTCAAACCTTTTGTACAGATAGTGCTCTTTGCATTGTTTAAAATGACACAAAAGCCATTTTGCTGATGTAATGTTGTGAAATATATCTCACACTGTTAATACTCACAATTCCAGTGATTTGTAAACGTTATTGTGATTACAAGTGGAAATGCTTCACATGATTTCCAATGAAGTTTTTCGAAATCTCAAAAGTTCTCTGTGAAAAAGAGCTTCAAATTTCTCATTTCCAGTAACACTTTAACAACATTTTCTTAAAAATCACTCCATGTGCTTCAACCAAATTTCCATATAGGACGAGGTTTTACTATTCTTTAATATTCTTAAAGTCATATTTTGGTTCTACCATTAGAAAACTGAAAAATTGGGGGTGGGGGGGGTGGGGGGAAATGTAGCTTGGGCAGTGACAGATGGCATCTGGCAAGAGGACAGGGCAATACCGAAAAGCCAGCACACACCCAAGAAAAAACTAACTAGTACTAGAAAGTCTGCCATTCTGTAGCACCACTAGTTGTATTGTTAACCTGAAATAAGAAAGAGATACTAATCATACTGTAATAATAATGTTTGAGAGCAAGATTCCCTTGGATACATAGAGATCAAAAAGAACTTATTGTTTCACACAGAGTAAAATTGCAATTAAAAAGAAAACAAAAGCTGGAAGAGAAAGAATACAACAAAAAACAATAATCCTTATGTGGATGTATGCACCAGTGATACTGATAAAACAAACTAATAGATATGCTGTGAAATTTGTAAGTTTAAAGAGGAAGAATAATGCATAAACTTAAAATTGGAATGCCATTCAATAAAACATGGAGAAATACAGTCATTCAATTTTCCTTTACGATTCAAAGAATTAAACACTGTTTCATACTGTTATGCTGTGTTTATTTCTCAACAAATTTCAAAGAAGATGAACTCAAATGTAGTTTGTAACTTCTTTTTCACATAATTCTGCATTTAATATTTGTGACACTATGAACATACTACAAGTATTCTGCATCTGAACATCATCTAAATGTTTCCTATTTTGATTTTCACCAAACAATAATTCTTAAGAGTTTCTTTTCTTTTTAAGATATTTACAAATTGATTTATTTATTAGCACCTAGAAGAAATTGAATAACACCTTTAAATTTTGCCTTTTACTGTGAATCGATATTTATTTCTTTGTACTTTGAATTGCTTTCTTTAACTTCAAAACTCAAAACAAAAACATGATCGCCAAGAGCTATGGTACTCTAAAAATTGTTTCAAATTATTTTTATTAAAATAATGAGAACATCACACTTTCTTTTTTAATAAAATTTCAATGATACAAGGATATTAGATATCAAAATTGTCTGCATAATTTAACACAGAGCTACCATACAAAACAATTAAATTTATAATGCACTATGATTCATTGTAATAAGTATTAAATGAACCTTTCTGACATTTGAGACATAAAGTGTGAAATAATTATGCTGCTGCCTAAATTAAGAATTCAAGAAAGGACACAATATCACATTCAGATGAAACAGTACTTAAAGTTTCTAATATTTCAAAAGTTCAAGTTTATTTTAATAAGGAAACTAAATTATTTTACCCATGCTACATAATAATGTCCTTTGCAATAACACTCCAAAATGCAATTCATTTACACCTCACATTTGTATTGATTGTAAAGGGGTGTTTTAAATTTAATTGGCAAAATATGTATCTAAGAATTTTTTTATTAATATTAGGAGCATGTTCAGTCTCCAAAAATATAACAATTTCTTACAGCACAAATATAGTAATTCATATAATCCTCATCTTCCTAGCAGCAAATAATTGCAAAGGTACAAAGACTTTTCATTGTAAAACTGCCTCAGTGCATTACAAAGGCTTTCCCTGAAGAAAGAAACCAACAATTTATAGTTTCTTGGATAAAAATTATAATTGAACTGACTATAGATATCAGATTCTTCCTTTGAGAAATATCACCAATTACAGTTTTAAATTTGTGCCTCTAAAAATGTATTAATCATTTAACACTGCTCAAAACCAGTCCAATTTTTTGAATGATTTAAATCAATGAAATAATCTCAGATTCAATGACAAAGGGTCTTAAAAAAAACAAGTCTGGGTAAAACATAATGCACATTGTATCTACTAATTAATAACCATAGCAATAATTCAGTATGTTCTGGACACTTAATTGAAAGAAAATTAGTAATACAATCCTTGATTCAAAATCAAAACCGGAAAATCTTCACCACTCACATTTTATCAGTACATTATCGCACATCTGTATTATTAACATATTTTTTCACCTAAGATTTAAATAAAGATACAACCTTGTTTGAACATTTTTCATTCTAAAAAGAATGTAAAATGTGTTTACATTTGCAAATATGTTATAATAATGATAAAAAAGAAATATCATTGTTCCTGAAAGCTGGCATTCAAAGTTATCAATTTACCTTCCTTTAAACATTCATGCACAAGATTTAGTTTTTCAATATCAAACGTTCTAAATACAAATTCCAAGACATTTTTATAACCAGTAAATTTTAATCAAATGAATTTCATATCTGGAACAAATCTAACAAAAGCTCTTCTCTTGAAAATACACAAAATAAATTGTTTAATATGATAGAGAAGAAAAATCAGAGGAAGAGACAAACAGTCCATAGTCAATTGCAAAAGCGACTGCTGCTAGTATTACCTTTCTTCAGATAAAAGGTGTTTCTGTTTAAAACACTAAGTTGGCAAGGTCTCTGAAAATCTTAGAAACAATTTAGTGTTTTGCAATTCAAAGCACGTCAGCTTATACATATACACTACTGTACAATTCAGCTTAGTTTGATCCAATAAGTTAACAAACTGCTACATGAAATTGAATCCAACTCCTGTGTGCTTCTCTTTGTAAATTTAAATTAACAGGTACATACTGTAATTTGCAGAATTTATATACAAGAAGTCATACTTAATGTTTCACTACCTAGAATCTTGTACTTTAAAATACATTTACAATTAGTTACAATCAACAGTGGTAAAAACAAAACAGCAATTTAACTTTGTTACTTCAAGTAACTCATGAATAGTTTGCAATGTTCCACTTCAGTATATTAATTCTTCCTTATTATTATATTCTTATTATTATTATATTGTACACTACAACAAGCCTTTCTGAATTTTCACTTGTACATCTTGCATTCAAACACTGACACATTCTTTCTTGAAATAATAATTTGGGATTTTAAATTTTGCAACAATCCAAAAATGTAATGAAATAGAATTATTGATAGTCAAATTTTGCTACTCTATTTTATTGAACAAATTCAAAGCATTATCATAATTTTGGTAACAATTTTAAATAATTTGAATTTAATTCAATTGAAAATGTTTATTCTAATACTTAAACTGAAGCACATTCCATATGCAATACTACGGGTAATAATATTTTTAAATAAATAAATAAATAAGTCAATAAATAAAGCATATAGACATTTTGCATCAACAGATGAGTATGAAATGCTGATTTCCTTTACGCATTAACTTTTAAAATTAATTGAAGAAGCATTATTATAAAAGGTAATAACCAAACACTGTTTAGAAAATACTTTGAATAAAAATCTGTGGTTCAACTTGAGATTATTTCACATAATTGTTCCCTATCTCTACATTTTCATTATCAATTTGTCAAAATCATTTAGACGCACTTTCCTTCACACATATTCATATAAAATAACTGAAGATTTTGCTGCTTCATTTTACCACTAACACTACTCAAAACATTACACAAAAATAAAATATTCAGTTAAACACACAAATCATTCAATCTTGTTTCACTTGCATAATAAATTACACATGGGCCAATTCTTGTTTTAAACCCAAAATTGGCTTAACATTCACAATTCATACCACATATAAAATACACACATTCAAAAATAATCTTCAGAATGACACACAATTGTCAGAAAATACTTTCACACATAAAATTGTAGGCGCATTTTATAAACAATTCCTAGACAGCTACTGGGGATTATCTTACAATAAGCGTGATGCATGAAACTGTGTTCAATGAGAAAATACAGAAGTATTACTATTTTTATATACAAATTGAAATATCACTATCATTCCACTGAAAACTGATGATCTCGCTGACAGATACAAAGAGTTGCTATGGTTCTTCATAAAATATCCACAGAAGTCCAATTACATTAAGAGGACAATTTCAATTGGATGTCTTTTACAAAGTACCAAAGCAACATTTCATTTATGGCCATAATTAAGTCATCCCATTTTTGAACAGAATTAAAGTTAAAAACAAAAACAAAATGGAAACAAAAAGAAATGTACAACTATGTTGATACTCTCCTTCAGTCTCTATCACCTGATAAAAACTCCCTCTCCAAAGCTGCCCCCATCATGTTCCAGTCACCATCGTCAATTTCATCAGGTGGATCATCACTACCATTGCTTGCACTATCATCCTCCCCAAGTTCTAAATCACTAGGTAAAGCTTCCCCACGTCTAAACTTTGTGCTGGGCATATCTTCATCCAAATCATCAAGTTCTGAATCTGTCACAGTCCTTTTACGGCGTTCTGACTCTGATGATCTCCATCCATGAGGATGTTCACCTGCAACAACATAAACAAATTAAAATGTAAGTCTCCAAAATTTCTAATTGATCTTGTAAGTGGATTATTTTAAACAACTTTCAAATCCATTCACTAATCCCACTAACACACACCAAATTAATTGCTCCTTTTATAAACAAAAACAATTGCCGATAAAACACAAGAGATGAGACGCATACATATGAATAAGCCTTTTTTATCTTCATAGAGAACAGAATATTTACTACTGGAGTATTGAGTGCAGAACATTAAGAACAAAATTAGGTTAGTAACAGAATTTATAACTCAAGAACGGCTGGACCAATTTTAATTATATCTGATTTGTTGGATTCATCTCCACACCGAAAAGCAGAATAACTATAAAACCAAACTCGGCAGGATTTTTTAAATCTATATCATTAAATAACTCTTAAACAAAGCATTCTAGGAAATTAAAAAGAAATTTTGAGTCCAAAAGCCTTAAAGAAACATTTCTCATACTGTAATCTACAGAATGTAATCTTTTTGAACATTCTAATACATTTTTGCTGGGGGGATGGGGAGCGGGGGAGAGAAGAAGAGAAAGAAAAGGAGATGAAGGGCAGAGCGTTACCCGGACCACCTGTTTCTCAATAAAATATTTCACATTAAAAGAACTAGGAACCAACTGCAAGTCTCCAAACATCCCCAGAAAATTCTTTCCAAATGTTGAAGATCCTCTTAAAACAAACTACTAATTAACAAACAGTTCAGTTCGACAAAACAGTTCTAAAAGTTTTACGAGAACGTAAGTCATATATACACTTCTTTATAGGATACAATTTGGTATTTATAGTACTACTTAATTGTATTCATGGAAATTTTCTTGGCATTCACCTGCAGGGAAATTCAGACCAGTATTTGTGAATGGCAAACTAATAGCATGTAATCAGTAAAGACAATATCCTATTACTTAGACCAAATAGCACTAACTAATTAAAAATGAAAATAATCTTAAGAAGCTTCTTCAAAACTACAGGGTTGTCTTCTATTCAGGTATCCACAGTAAATGAATTCATCTGTTGCAAATAATTTCTAATTTTTAATATATCATGTTTCATCACTTTTTCTGGTAAATATTGCAAAGATTTTACCTTTATTTTAACATTATGCTTGAACATTGTTCTTTATGAATCTGCTCTAACATCATTCAATCCTAAAAAATCTTGTTCAATATTTTAACTATTAATGCAATTCAATAATTAGCAAAAACTATTTTGGGAAAGTCAAGCATTATAGCAGTTAAACGATATTTTGAATGCAAATTCTTTTTGTTCCAAGTTTCAAACCTCAAAATTTGATCTGAATCCAACAACTTTTTAGCTTCTTTTCTAAAATTTTGCAGACCCTTACCTGACAGAGAATCTGCAGAGCTGCTACTAGATTCATACTCCAAAACTGCCCTTCTCACTGCTGCTTCTTCCTCTCTGTTTTCCTTCTCTATATCCTTCTCAGCAACATTTTCAGTTAGACATTCTGCTTTCTTTTCTTCCCGTTCCCCTTCACTTTCCGACTCGTTAAAGATATCTTCAACTTCACGATCCATGTTTGCAATATCTTCTGATGAAAAAGACATAAGCGGATTTATGCTATCCATAAAGCGGCTCGCACCCAATTGTCCAGGTGAATGTTCAGGACTTCCACAATGTGGAGGTGGATGCCTACTAGAGGTCTGTCTCCGACCTAATGGAAATAACTTCTCTTCTATGTGTTCCCATCTTTCAGCACAACCCCACAACCACTCTGGAGTTACAATAGAAATGTTTTTCATTCTTCTTGCAGTATTAACTTTTGCAGTACCTGATCTAATAGCTACTAAATGAGTAGTCTTTGAATCAATATCCGAGCTGACTACTGCTCCTAATGACCTAGCCACTTGGTATACCCTACTTTTCTCTAAAGGTACATTTGTGGGAACAAGACCACTAAAAACTAAACGTGTACCACATAAAACTTTGCGTCGGACATAAGGTATGACACTTTTTAAGTCTGGCATATCACCTTGAAGTTCATCGAAGATTTCATAAAATGCATGATGAATAGTTTTCAAAATTCCTTCTAAATATAAAAGGTAGTCATCACTGTCTTCAACTTCTCTTTCAATCTCAATATTATTTATGTTGCTTTTCTCCTCTCCAATTTCATCTTTATTGACCACACATTCATTTTCTTTCCCTTCGTTATCCAGTCGACAATTTTCTTTAATATTTTCTGATATATCATTGGCACCAACATTATTTATATTTTCCTTTTCATCTTTTGCGCTTTCTGAATATTTATTAGGTTTGCTTACAGTATTATAATCAACTGAAATTGAATCCTTTCCTCCATCAGGGCAAAGTTCCGATGTTGACTTAACCTCTGTGTTTTTGTCTGAAGAATTTTCGGATTTTGGATTTTTATTTTTGATTTGTTTCTCGACATTTGTAGGCTGGCTGTCTGGATCACAACTTTTAACTTCAACATCTCTTAAAAGTTTTTCGTTTTCTTCTTCTTTTTCTTCTCCGGGCATTTTCTTCTGTTTTAATGTATCTGAATTTTCATCTTTCATTTCAACATTTGTATAAGGCGTTTCTTTCTCTTCAACATTCTCTTTGGCAAGATCCTTTTCATTTTTTAAATCTTCCATTTTAACTAACTCCACCTCTTTCGCCTTCTCCTGCAACTTGTTCTCTGGAGAAGAGCTCCTGTTCTCTAAAAAAAAGAGCATGATTACAGCTTAATTGTATTTGCATGTTTTACTAGCTCCATACATTCAAAACTAAAGGCAAAATTTCACGGATAAAGAAAAGAAGTGAAGAACAGTGCAGGAACAAGGCAGAGAGAGATTGATGTGAGAAGTGTAACAAAAAAGACGTGAACAGAAAAAGAAAAACAATATGAAATGAAGTTTTATAAATAGAATGCAATAAAGCACAAGAAATCTCTTGCCAACAGTGCAATTATAATGCAAAATATAAAAATTAAAATTATATTAATCTATTTACCAAAACTGCTGAAGTCAAATCCCTCTTTTTCATCATTTTCATGCTTTGTAAGACCTGGAGGGGCATTAATATCACCGGTATGTTTAAAAAAATGATAAGGTTTGACATGAATCAAATTGGGGGCAAAATTCCAAACATCTTCCCTGTCATCAATAATGCAGACCATGTTGTCACCACACGGAAATAATGCCCTAAAACAGACATACCCAATAATAATTTGTGAAATGAACCCTGAAATTAACTTGCATATTCAACAAAATATACATACGATAGGTTTGCTGTTTTTGAACTAGAATTGAAGCATTCATCTCGTGACAAAATTCTATGAGAGAAATATTTCCCATCGGGATCCAAAAATGTAGCTATCATGTGTGCATAATTACGTGCTCCAAAAGTACAAATATGTAGCTCATACAACTGGCTCATTTCTTTTAAGAAATGACTAGTGCCAGGTCGAATACGAGTATGGTACCATGGTGAAGTAGGTCCATACAACTGGAAATGATATACATCCTGCAAATGAGACATTTGAAATTTAAAAACCTGTGTTTTCCTTCATACACTGACAACACAAGAAAATATAGATCAACTATTTCTACCTTTATATTTGGTGGAATGTTATCATTTGTCGTATGAATCAATGTTTGATCCAAATCAACCAATAAAACTAGCTTTCTGTGTTTTATCAATCGTTCTTCATCAGCTTTACCAATCAGTTCTGCTTGCTACAAAAAAACATCACAATTCAAGTATTTCCAAATCTCATTCAAAACATTATTTCACCAATAATTAAACACTTATTGTGAATTTAATTTAACCTTTACACTATATTTGTAAATTAATATTCTTACAAAGAGGTACACAATAGTACACAACAAACATTATTTACATTTAACAAAATAATGAAAAGCAATTTGAATGCAAATGAGTTCACATAAGACCTTTTGTTGTATTTTAGAGGAAGAAAAATGCTGAATAAAAACATTTTAGTGCTTCAAGATCAAATCACGATTTAGTACTTTAAGATCAAATTTTCTGATAAATACGAACACAAAATACAAAAATAGGATTAAACTGGCTTTAAAAATTGGAGGAAAAAGAAATTAAAAACTAACAACTTTATTATGCATGATATTTTTTTTCGATTCTCTCTATCTCATTGTGACAGCTTCCACTCAGAAAATTTCTCACATCCATTTCAAAATTAAAATGATTTTTGAAATTAAAAACATTTTTGTTAAACAGAAGCGGCCAAAAATATTGTCTTTTTATTTAATATTTTTCATACAGTGGTATCCTTCTCATATCTCAACAATCAAAACAATTCTTTTTCAGGTTACATATGTTTTTTACCTTGTCTATAAAATACAAAGTTTCGCCACCCAATTGGTTGCATTTTTTAGTGTACAGAAATAGAGATATTTAAACCCTAAAAATTTTTCTTTCTTAAAATATAACATTGATGTGATTGAAGATGCGGCTACTTAGGTAACGCAACATCATGATTTATAGGCAAGATAATAAATATAAGTAACCTAAAAAATAATAGTTTTGATTGCTGTTAATATGAGAAGGATACCATTGTAAAATAAACACAATTTTGTTTTAACAACACCATAGGAGTACAGAGCATGAATTCATTTTGGCAACACTGCAGTAACTTTTATGACTAACATTTAAACAAAATTAAGAAGTATACATAATGGATTTCTGGAGTGGGAATGTAAACACAAATACTTTATTGAAATAAAGCATTACTTCTTCCATGTTCAAATTACTTAGCTTAATTAAAAATCCAATAAATAATTGTGTTTTGGATCGTATTATCTGGGATGATACAGCAAATCCAATAAGTCAGAACTCAATGTTAAAAGTTTTGAAGAAATGAGATCTAAATATGAAAATAAAATATTAAATATTTAAAAATATCCATATATGATTGGCCCTTCCACAGTCCATTTAATAATTTTCAAATAAATGAATTTAAACATACCTCCCTGCTGACTTTGAGATCCGGAATGCTATGTACCATAGGGACTGATGCTTTAAGACAATTTTGATTTTCTGTTTTTAGGTCTGCCCCACATTCTGCACACATAGCATTCATAACAGTTGGGTGAGTACATTCTTCTAATTCCAGCAATGCCGTTCTAAAGAAATGATAAAGAAAACACTAAGAAAGAAAATTAATATATATCACCACTACTGATCTTTCTGATAAAACATCCATCTAATTGTAATGCACATGTGTGACAACGTAAATATGTTGTAATTCACTTCGAATATTGATGAAATACATAATCATTTTATTAAAATAGACATAACATGCGCTAAATATAGACTATTCAATATTTACAATTTGAAATACAACGCGTACTATGCTGCGTAGTTGGCAGCATTGCAATAACAACATGGCGTCTAACAGCAAGCAGAAACTATTGAGCATGCCTAAATATCAATGCACGGGCAGTTAACCGCGGAGTACCTGCTTCAAAGACAATTATTACGGTACCTGTTGCAACAGTACTCACCCGGGAGTAATAGTTTCTCCTTCTCTAGCCAAAAGTTTCCGTACCATCCCCATTTGCGTCGCTTTTAGTTTTTTTAGTTCTTCCCGTCCATTGCTGGAATTAATGTCATATAAAAGAAGCACACGCCCTATTGACACAAATGTACCCTCCTTCACCTTCCATTTTGATATTTTCCCGGATTTACCAGGAGGAAAAACAATCACTTCACAATTTGTACCCATACCAAACGGAAGTAAATGTGTCTAAACCGGAAAGGCAGACATTGCCCGCACTTAAATTTTCATTGGTGGGATATAGAGCAGACGCACATTTGACCAATGGTAAGGGTTTGAGCGGGCAACTTAATCAAACGAAAACGCAGCGTCGGAGTTAGAAAAATATTATTACCTGAAATTACGAACTGTAACTTTTAGTCGAATGTCGAACTTATAGTAAGAACACGTAGAAAAATTCGTAAAGCAAAATATTTTAAATTCATTGCATTATGATATTTTTAAATTCAGTAATAGGTATATTACAATCGGGAAGCGATGCTAATTTCACCATGTTCTAATTCTTGCCATATAAAGCATCATGATGTAAAACTTATCAAATAAATTAATAAAAAAACCACAATTAGAGTCTTGAACGAAAGATAATCGATTAATAATCTATATTGTAAGCATTTATACGTATATTGACCTAAACATACCTTGATCATCATCTAATATTACGAACGATATAATATAATGTTTTTATGTCACCGACCATTGTGCTATACGTCATCTGTAAATCATGTCAGAGAAGCGTTTATTTCACGATTATTCACATCATTATTTGTCTCATACAGTTTTCACTTCTTTTTGACTGAATAAATCTAATCTACTTTTGTTTGAGAGCTTAACCAGCTTTGGTTTCAGGCTTTAAAAAGACGAGCCCAATAAGATTAAATCATACAGTCTACATGTTCGAACCAGACATAAAAGTGTAAATCAGGAATCATTAAATATTATAATAATTATGAAGACAAATAATACAAAAAGAAAAGCGCGTAACCGTGATTTGACATGATTTTTTTTGGGGGGGGGGGGGAATCATCACATTCTGTAGTTCCTATTATTAAAACGTTAAAAATGAGCATTGACATATTTCCAATGCATTAGATGTTCATAAATATTATGTGATTTGAATGCTTGTATTTGCGGAGAGAATATTGTTTCATTGAATCAAGAAATCATAAAGATGTGAAACAACCTTTCACAGACTTTGCATGGAATACTTGACGTCAAACAGCAGTGCTGCCCTCTAGCAATTGGAAGGCCTGTAACCACTTGTAACCAATAATGAACATCGAGTGTCATAATCAAAGAGTACTGCAGAGATGACAAAAATGACGTCACTGTCTCTAGCGGGAAAGTGTTGGGTGGCAAGCTCTGATGTGCGTCTATGCGTTTTCTAGAGCATATAGTAAGGCTTTTACAATGCAATTTTTCTAGAGCATTTAGTAAGTTATTTACAATGTTTAGGATCTGGCTCGTTCACTAATTTGATTTAAAGAAGCACTGCTCTATTAGATACTTATCAAATTAGTACATTCTTTTCGAAAATAGTTCGAAGTAGATTTGGATATAGATTTATTCATTAAAAAAGAACAGTAAAAACAGAATCTGACGTAGGGGAGAAATTATTATCTGCGCACGTTTTCTTGAGTTCCGGAATCCCTTCCCGTCATTTTTACTATACATAGTTGAAAAGTGAGTAAAAGTTAAACATAAATAAATTCATTAAATAAATAAATTTTAAAACTCCGAAGATTAGAAATATTTGAAAAATAGTCATTTTTGTTTCTGAGTTATAGAAAACTTATTTGCATAGGTAAATATTATCATTACTTTAGACTACCATTACATAGAAGTAAATATTATCATTGCCTTAGGGATGATTCTGAGGTGATATTTTATAATAAAATGAAATATGTGCAAGATTTGAATTCACATGTCTTTTATTGGGTACGAAATGTGTTAACGAATTTCATCTCCCTGCGCTATTCGAGTAGATTTCTCCCTCCGTATATTTTTTATGAACTGTCGTCTTTTTAAATATTGAATTTAGAAACTTCTGTTAATTATTATCATTACATTCTGAGATAAAAATAAGTATTATAAATATTATTAAACTTTAGTAATAGATCTGGAAAATTTTCCATTATGCTGAAAAATCTCTAAAATGTTCACAGAGTGAAGGAATCGTTAATATTAATTTAACAAAAATTTGATATAATTAAACGTATTAATTTTTCAATGTATTAATAACAACAAATATAGTTATTTAAAATTACCAGCCCTGAGGAAGGCTACGACAAGATGGTCGAAATCCGGCGCACCTGGACTGCCAAGATCACGCACATGACTCTGGCCGCGGAAGCCTACGACTTCATTGTGAAAAGATCGTTTATGTTTTTATTGAATAATTAGATGACTTAAGCCAGTTAGGCCCTTGGTAGCAAAAGATGAATGAATCGAATATTAAATACAGAAAAAGAGAAGCGATAAAAATGCAGCTCACGCATAAAGAACAAAACTATTTCATTGGACACATAAGATTCAAAAGAAGGTTATGGAGAGTCGAAGAATAGTTTTGGTAATTTGCGTTTTAGTCGGTTACGATAGGGATTATGTTTTGCAAGTTCAAAAAAATCAAGTGCAGATGGAATATTATTAATTTTGCGGTAGAATTATGCAGACATTTGTAGATACTACATATTCAGTATAGCTCAGAAGAAGGCCACAGCAAGATGGCCGAAACGTCAGAACAATTGATCGTTGATCGAGATGCGGTTCATCCCATTTATTATACTAATACAATATAATATACTATACTATATATATTATCTATATAATATATTATATATATATTATATATATATATATGACACAAGTAAGTCTGACAATAAGTGAAAATGAAAATTGATTTTAACTGATTTTAATTATAAATGGAAAAGTATGATCTAGCCCAGAGGATAATTTTGGAGGCAAATTTATTATATAGTTAGTTACTTCGAAGGGTGAAATTAAATAAATGGGCTGCGGAACATTTGGAATCTCTGTTGAAATAGAACTTTGAACTAATGAATCGTCATCAGTATTAAAAGATTCATGAGGTTTAAAAACATTTGCCAAATTGTCTGCAAATATATCACGTTTTCCTGAGGTGGTTGTACATACTTATTTTGTACATATAAGGATGGAATTATTGTTTGCCTTCTTAGAAGTTATCTAGTGATATTCAACAAAGTCGAATACGTTCCGTAACATTTGATGGAGTATATGATTTATGGGATTGCAATCACATAAACCCCGCCCTGGCGTAGAATGGGGAGGCCACGCAGCTAATGCCAGCACCTCCAGGGGTCAACGACAGCTCGCGGCCCCCGGATAAAATTAAGTTTAAATTCTTATTAGGACAAGTTTTCTTGGGTTTATTTTGAACGACGCTCCATTCTATTCTACTAATTAAAAAAAAGTATCATGCAGCATCCGAGCTAGCTGGCGTGCCAACAAGGCGCCGACAAAACAAATAGCTGCCCCAAGCATGGGAACTTGTTAAAATAAAAAAAATAAAACAATACGTCACAGTATCACTGTTTCTTCTTGTAATTATAAGTGGTAAGTGTCTCATTCCATTAACATAGAATTTTGTAACAAGATCAAATTTTCTTTGATCGTTTCCCTTTTTCTGTGCATTGAAGAAACCAGAAGTTAAGCTTGTTTGCTTTGACTTTTTGGCATTAGTATCACTATTCTCAGAACTGTTCATTTTTCTCCTATGTGAAATTGATATTCTGGTCCACTCATTTTTGCATTCTCAAATTCACTCACACCAAGATGAATTCTCGAAAATGTGTACAGAAAGTATTAGTTCCTGAACAAAAAGAACTAGCGTACCAGTGCGATAACTCTCCCTTGTTAATTCCCACCCTTTCCCGATCCATTTCCACATCCTTTCCATTATGAAGGAAAGTTGCCAATGAAACGTGTTTACTTGTTTAAAAATGTATAAAGGTAACTTCAATTTTACTAAAACAATATCAAATTAAAAACAATGCAATTGCAAAAATAAATTTTTACTTAAGATTTATTCAGGTATTATCGAGTGATTTATTGGAATAATTCACAACACTCCCTTAAAAATATTTTAAGAAATTATTCAATATTATTTGACAGTTAGCTTTCACTTTCCGTCATAGTCATAAAAATATTTTTTAAAAAAAGCTTTTTACTCTTTATAAAGCTACTTAAAGTAGTTTTACTCTTTATAAAGTGACTTAACACGCCAACTTGAAAGTTTCACCGAATCACTGCTGATAATGAAAATACTGGTACACGTAAAACAAACCAAGCCTAACAAGAAACATCTCTCTTCACTGTGCACCCACATCCCTCCATAATTAGGTACACAGCACTTGTAGACCTCGGCAAAACGTTAAATGTTCTCACTACACGCATAAGAAACAATTTTCATTGGAATCAAGCAACTTATTAATAGTACTTTTAGTTGTTTCTGCGAAAGCGAACCTTGAAATAAAAATGCAAACCTCGTCAGTATGCGCAAACCTCAGTGTGCCCAGAAAGCGTAAATAGTATTAGAGAAATCTAAGCCATGACGTGACGCCAATCGGGACGTCACAAAGATGGCTACGATCACCAAGTGTTGAAATAGAGGTGACATTGGTAGTATCGATAAACCGAACCAGCACAAATTTAATAGAAAACAACCAATAACATCTCTTCTTGTAGATTTCTTTGAGACCCTTGGCGTAAAATTTTAAAGGCCCTAGGACGCTTCGTTTATGAGTTATTTAACGATGTAGCTGACTGAATGCTGCGGATTGCACTTAACATGAATATTTAGATGCGTTTTTAAATAAATTCTTCAATTTTTAAAGTCAATGTTCAATTTGTCACGTCTCTGTGAAATTCTTGTTCTTTAGACGTCATTTATAAAGATCGGTTGCGAATGAGAGCCGCAAAAGGTATGTATACTACTAAAATAATATAAGACGATGGCCAGTGAAATTCAGTCTACTGTACACTATTGTGTACATCTTAAAATGTATAATATTAGACTCACTGAACAGTGATTTGGATCGCGTCAACAGCTAAGGTCATTAGTCCCGTAGGTGCAGGGCATGTTTTCTCCTCCGTAGGAGGCGTTCTTCCCCCGCTGGATGGTGAGTTTTGGCGCCGACCTACCGTCAGCTAGCCCAACCAGTTATCTCCCTCAGCTGGG